GTTATAAAATTCCAAGCATGTGAGCACCTTAGAAGTGAAATAAAGAAGGGGGTTAGGGTGCAGGGGGTAAGAATGCGTTTATGGTCTCTCTTCTGTGAGGGCTATAAAACAAGTGACGTTCCCCAGCTCACCAACAACTGTCTCTCTGCTGCATAGCCCAGCAAACTCAAGCAGCCTAAGGAAATTAAAAATCAATGTACTGCAAGTGGAGAAGGACGGAGATGAACGAAACTGCTCGTATAAAGGAGTCTGGGGGTATGAATTATGCCGTGAAATGTAAAAGAAATTTTACCCACTCCTGCCTAACAGTGTAAACTCATCCATGCTGCAGGCCAGCTGTGCCTGGTGGGTCAAAATAATTTATAATTTAAGATATCACATTTTGTGTTAGGTTTTCACAGCGAGGAATCAAAATGCAGCATGTTATAGTCTTGATACAGATGTTTTCTGGGTCTGTTTTGTTCTAAGCTCACCTCGACATTCCTCTGAATCACACACACACACACACACACACACACACACACACACACACACACACACACACACACACACACACACACACACACACACACTTGGAGGAAACAGCGACCGATAATTATCTCTGCAGCAAATTATGCCTTTGCAAATTACTCGAGGGGTTGTTTTGCGCAAAAACCAAAGCCATTTTGAGGGAAAATTGACTACTTTTAAAAAGTTAAAAATGATGCAATTCAACACAAGATAAACTGCTCCTTTTGTACTTTATTATTATCATTATTTTATTTTAAAAGAGCATTTGTCTGCCTAGCATATCATTGACCCCCAATTAAAATGCTTTTAAACCAAATGGAAAAAGAAAAAAAAAAACAAACAACGACAAAAAAAATCTTGGTTGCATGTACTTGAGTCAACAATCGACATTATCCCCCGTTTTGCAACGAGCCATAATTGATACCAATAAAGTAATCGATAAGGCTTGAAAACGTCTGTTTTAGCGCAATCACTTTGGCTGCAGCAGCCATACTTGTTCAGCCCATTGATCTTATCCAATAAGAATAAATATGCGTTGCCTGAAATGTTTAACCCTGTTTGCTGTGCTTTTTTGTCGTTGTTTTTCTCTTTTTTTGTGTGTTTTTGTGGGAAAAAAGGAGGGGGATCCCGAAAAGACCATAAAAAGAGACAACAAAAGAGAAGGAAGTGGACGGTGCAATAAAAGTTTCCCTTCACCCTTTCTTGACCATATGGGACATCCGCGCTTTGCACAGAATAATGTAAACAGAGCACAAAAACTTAGTCTGCGAGGCGATATTATTTCTTACTTTCCCCTCAATTTATTTAATAAAAATCACATTTACTTATTTGCAGCTTTAATGCGCAGGAACAAAAAAACTATTTGGGGAAATTGCAAAAAAAAAATAAAAAATAAATAAAATCTTTTAATGAATCAGAGATAGTATTTTTTAGAAACTCCTCCATCCAAATTTTTAAAATCGGTATTTTAACTACATAGACATTTTAAAATGTGTTTACTCCTGGTATTTTTGCGATATATATGTCATACTGTCTACAGCAGAAACGCAATGATGTGTTTTCATTAATTGCATTAAAGGATTATTGATTATATTCTTTGGACCATTGGACGTTTTTCATGTCATCAAGAATGCCATGATTATAAATGTCTAATAAGTTACATGAAATAATTCTATATTTAAAAAGTCAAAAATATCTCTCTCTAGACTATTTTGGTTCACCACCCCCTCTGTTTCTTTTCCCCCGTATTGTTGCTCACATACAAACAGGAAAAACAGCCCAGTCCATAGAGTGGAAGGCTGTAAATTAAAAGGCTTGAACAGTGGAGCCAATGTGCGGACTGGAATGCAGCAGAGGTTGTGTCAGTGTGCAGAATCAGAGAGGTCATTCTTTCCCCAGAAGTTTTAGTGTTTTATTGCGGCCCGTGAGGCAAATCACATGCATTTGGGACACCGTTTGGTCCACGTATTTTAGTTTTCCTTTTTAAAGGGACATTTGGAGTGAACAAGAATGCGCAAAGAAGGTCAAGAAGAACCAAAGTGAATATAGTCCAGTATATTTGTGTAATTATACAACGGTTATAATTTAATATAACCCAGGGATATATATTAAAATATCATGCTTTTATTGTAATGCGCAGCGTTTTACTGTAGGCCTATTATTATTATTATTATTATTATTATTATTATTATTATTATTATTATTATTATTATTATTATTATTATTATTATTATTATTATTATTATTATTATTATTGGACTATTTTGTCCTGGTAAATTATAATCACGTCCTTAATTTTAGGCATATTCCGCCGGCAAAAAGCCCCTATCCCTCAACACCGGAGAATCAAAAGCTTTCATTTTGCTTACTTGCAGACAGAACCGACTTTCTAACGTCACAACATAACTCAGCATTACCTACACGAGGCCCTTAAAGTCACTTTATTGTGAGCCATGATTAGAAACAAAGCAAGGGAAGCAAAATCTTCTCCAGCCATGGTGCTTTTCTCCTCTTTTCCTACCCTGGTTTCTAATAAGGACTTATTCTCATACTAACAATGTAAAGCTCCTCTAAGCACTTTACCGCTGCCGACCGGCCCAATTAATGCCCGGAAGTGTTCGACTTTATGCTCGTTAAGCACTCAGGAAGCTGTTGCCCAATGAGCACATGTTGATCCACACATCATAAATTATGACCATTAGCGGGGGCAAAATTTTGGGGCCTGTCGGAATTTGAGGTAAGTGAGGTAAGTGAGGTTCTAAATGCGGTGACGCGGACAGATTCATGACTTCATGAAGTTTTATGCGAACCATCTCTGCTTTAAAAATCGTTGCACAGCTAAACAATGGACACCCCCCCCCCCCTCCCCATTTGGGAGTTTTACCCAAATGGCGTCCATTATTAAATGGCAACATCTCCTCTTCCCCTTCTCTGTAGGTAGAGCCAGACAACAGCAGGACACGATCCAAAACGCCAGTAATGTTGTAAAAAGGAAAAGTGAAGCAGCAAGGTTTTATGACTTCAAAGGGAATTTTCCTTGTAATTATATTTTCGGTGATTTCAATGGATAACATTCAGCAGAAACACATGGAGTCACTTTATCACACAAAACAATATTTTTTCCTCATTTCAGACGTCATTAAGCCAAAGACAGAAAACGTTTCTACAAGGACAGTTTCTTTCAACAAAAAGAGGAAAAAAGTAGTACCTCTCTCCCCCATTACTCACACACACACACACACACACACACAAACAAACGTTATTTCAACTTAGATCCTGTTTAATATATCTCGGCAGTAAATATAACCTCTTGCTGACATATCATTTAGTCCAATCTGTACTTTTCATGTATCATAATATTTAGCACTTTTGCTGTAGCTATAAAATATTATTTACCCCTTACAATATTGATATAAAAAAACACTAGACATATAATATTTAATAATAATAAAGGATACATGAAAAAGATAAATAATAATAATAATAATAATAATAATAATAATAATAATAATAATAATAATAGTGCGCCTTCCAGGCTATATAAGATAATTGATGAGTATATAAACATCAATACACTATACAACATTTGCTTCCCTAATTCACTATGCCATGTTAAGTGGTCTATTATAGATGATTTGTAACTTTTTTTTTTTTTATCTATTCATCCAGTTCTTAAGCTAGATGTTTCAACATATTCTAGATTTAAGGTTTTTATTTGCTTTGAATCATGTTTGACAGAAATTGCTGGTTTGCATTTTTTATGGTTGTTTCTGCTAATTTTCCTTAAGATACTGTTTTTTACTTTTTGGCAGCTGTTGTTTGTATGTCATATATATATATATATATATATATATATATATATATATATATATATATATATATATATATATATATATATATATATATATATATATATATATATATATATATATATATATATATATATATATATATATATATATATATATATATATATATATATATATTGACATCCCTATCATTAATATGCATTTACTTTTTTGTTTCATCAACTGCTTGTGAGATTTGGTTTAGTTTCAAATTAAATCTTTTTTCTGGAAATCACTATTTATTAGTATTATTCCATCTCGTTGCTGTTTTATTTTGTTAGATCATTATTACCTTAATATGTAATGATAATATGTAGTATAAATATAATAACTTCATTTATGTCGTCACTGGTTGTGTCACATAGCGAAGCCTCAGACAAAGCATTGGTTTTCAAACATCGAAACAGAAACCACAAAAATGAAAAGCAAATCTGTCATGTGGACAAGTGAAAATAACAGACTCTGGTAAACACTCCTCCATAGAAGCCTGACTGAGCAGTAACATGCTGGCAATGTTCTATCAGCTGGGTCAGCTGACATCCGCAGTAACCCTCCGCCGAAAAAAACAGCAGCTGTAAACAACCAGACTCAACACCCGCCCACGCATCCATCCCCCTCTCGTCACTAGGGGGCACTACTAAGACCTTTTTAATCCACATATATTATAATTCGTATGTAAAATGGGCGTGCATGGGTGTTTATGACATAAACGTGCCTGGTGTTGCTCATTGGTATTACTTAGTCTTTAAACATGTGGCAATGAGTGTGCGAGCAGGACATAATTAGAGGAGCGAGTGTAGCTCCGAGTGTAATTCGTCAGTGTATGGTCAGAAGGGCCTATGACTGATGGGAAAGTTAAGTGTCAGGAGGCTGTTTATCACAACAGACCGTGTACCGCACTTCTAAAATGCTGTCTGAACGCAGAACAGATGAGCCGGTAGGTTTACAAACAAGCAGGTGCGCACAGCACTGAGGAGTATCATTAGAAGCGCTTCGGGCATCTGCAGGTCAGGTCAGCTACACAGAATGGACACTTTCAACTTCTCTGATCTCACTCACTCTCACATTATTCACCGTTTTAGCCCAGCAGCAGCAACACCAAAAAGGGAGATGCAATCATTAAGAAGAAGAGAGAAATCCTACCTGAGAGAGCTCTTCTCTTGTGGTCCAGAACAGCTGAGGGGTCAGGGTGGAGAGGGGGGCGACAGCAGCACGGCGCGCATCTTCTTGTTGTCGATAAGGAGCTCTGTCTGTTAGAAAAGTCTTTCCTTGCTGGCTTGCTTTCTCTTTTTGCTTTCCCAGTCGTGGTTTTATTGCCTCCAGAGGAGGGGGACGGCGAAAGAGGGGTAGAGATCAACGCAGGCAGCGGCTTGGTAGAGGCGGTGACTGTCCCGAAGATCCCACCGCCAGGAAGTCGCGGAGATCGGCTGAATCTGTGACTTGCAGCCGCACCCCGAAAGAAGCCGTTCTATATTTGTTTTTTACAGTAAAGAGAAATTGGCTTTTCTGTGCTCCTTGCTTTTAGACAGCTGCTGATACAAGGGAAGGAGCAGATAATAGACAACAGCATAAAGTTCATGTTCATAGAGCCTGGGCCACGTGGCCAGCTCCAGCCAATCCCAGCCAGGGCTCAGTCGTAAACTTTTATTACTCAGCTGTAAATTTCTTTCCTTTAACAACCAGGAATGTTTGCGACCATCTTTTACTTCCCCTTTTTCTACAAAAGGACAAAACTAAAATCTGCCACGCACTGCAAGAGCCACAATTCTGTTACTACTCGAAAATAAGTCCCATTTTGGAAATAATAATCTGAAAAACGACCACTTCCTATTACTGACAAGGTGCCATGAAATGCTCAACCAGCAAATGAAATAAAATAAAAAAATGAAGGTGTAAAAATAAAGATATAAGCGATCTGAAAAGAAAGATGATAAGTATTTATTCAATTTCATTTGGGTCGAACTTCTACACTGTAGGGCATCTGGTTTTCCTGACAGTCAAGTTCTTCTACTACAGCAAATTCAACATCAGTAAGGTACTTTATAGGCAATAGTAGAACGATTTAAGATTTTAATTAATGCTGCAAACATTGTTTGCTAAAAACGAGTTATATCTGATATCCATCCAAAAACTTAAAGAAGTTTCTTTGCAAAAAAATATTTTGCAAATATTAAGCCCTTACTACGTCACCTTTGTGAAGTTTAATCCCGTACATTTTACATGTCGAACACACAGTAGACACCATCTATGTTTAATCATTGCTACATTTATTTTCTCAAAGAAAGGCCTACTATATCGAAATTCGTAAGAGCCATCAAAACCAATACAACAGTAAAACGTTGTATTAAGTAAATTCTACAAGGAGATTTCATCCAATATTCTAGACAAGAGTATAGCAAAAAGGCATAAAATTTCTTCAAAACCTTTAACAACAGATATTTTTTCTCCCAGGATAGAATGTTAGTCGTACCCTCACAGGCCGTGATCTTCCCACTGCGGGGCTGAGATGCAGGCCGTTACAAGCAAGGTCTTTACACCCCAATAAAATTTACTGCAGGTACACTAAACTTTATAGGTAATATAACGCTCTGGTTTAAAATAAAGAAACCAAAACAAAACACGGACAGACAGCAAGATGTAAAAGAGAGAAGCTAAATTTGGAACTGGGATACAGAATTCAGTTTAAGAAAAAGACTGGGGCTTTATATGCTTAGATTTTCAGCTCAACAAAGAAGATTAAGCCACGCAAGACATGGAATAAAAAAAAAAAAAACATAATTACTAGAATTAGAAACGGAACAATTATTACAAAAGTATAAATGAGACATATGCTATTTTTTTCAAGCTTCAGGTTGACTGAAGTGATACAAAATAATCTATATACTTAAAATAAAAATAAAAACGTTGCAGACAGGCCTAACTTTCCCGTTTTAAAATGAAAATTCATTGTATCTTTATCAGATTAATAGGGTCTTCTCTTTAAGACAAGAAATATTCAAATTAATTAGAAAAAATTACTTTAATATTTTATTCAGATGTTTCACCTTTGTTTAGGCATAATATACTAAGAAAAAATAATGCTGCGAGCAAAGAAAAGTACATAAAAAACAAAGCTATTACATAAAAATTTAGAAAATAAGATAAGAAGTTGCGAGATACGTAGTAGACAATATAGATGTCTTAAAAACGAAACATACACAAGCCTAAATAAAACACATCTGTTTTGCGATATTTTAACAGCATCGTCTCTAAATTTATTCCGAAATCTACTTTTTAAGGACTTGTAAATTTTTTTTTTTTTTAGTTTTTAAAATACTTTTCTGAGCGGAAACGAAGCGGAAAGTGGTAAACACGCAACACCAGGGGTTTTGTACATTTTAGACGCCAGATTAGTGAAAAATAGCCAAATATAAACTACCATTTTTGCAAGGGGCGGTTGTATTAAAAATAAAAACACTATGTAACTACATTTATGAAGTGATATATCTAAACTACACGTTGTGGAAAATAGAATCAGATTTTAATTTTGTTTATTTGTTCGACAGGTACTACACAAAGGAGCCCAGCAACACCCCGGGACCTGCGCCGCAGGACCATCTGAACCACACTGACTAAGAGCTTTTTAAAATGGACTTTCATTGCAGTATTCCAATTTTTTTCTTGCAAGCTAATATTAATGTTTTCCTAAACAGCTGGCGTAAAAAGCAGCAGCGGAACCGAGGCATAGAAGAGCTGCGTTTTGGTTCTACTTTGATTTTATCGTTGACGTTTTCTGAAGCTTTAGTCTGCGCACTATTGTTTAACACAAACACCTTAGGCCCACACTGTACAGATTTAGACCCCCGTCCCCCCATCTTTCTTTCCTTTTTCCATTACCTAGTGTGATTATTAACACCACAGGTCAGATGTTTGTTCATCTCATCTCGAACAGCCATTACTCTTCTCAAGATTCATTAAGAAAAGTCTCCGGTTCTCCCTGAAGAGAGGAAGTTTCTTATTAAGAGGATGAATCAAATGCAGCATGCTGTGAGAGGGATTCCAAGACATTTACCTTAAAAGGTACACTGAGACATCTGCAGGCGCATGACTGGCGCATATTTTATTTGTTAGATGCAGGAAAGTTTAATTAGGCTGGCGGGGAGGCTGTTCAACGTTCGTGTGCAAATGTTTAAGAGGCTGAACATCATTAGAGGAAAGAATAACTCAAAACATTAAGTTCTTTAGCTCATTAGAGACTGAAAGTTTTTAATCACTTATAACAAACTATTTGAAGTTCAATAACTTTGGGTATTAATAAAGATGTCCGCCAAGAAAAAAATGGTTTCGTTTATTTTTTATTTTTTCTTTGAAGGCGCCCGATGTGTGTACAGTAATAAGCTCCTGCAACGTCAGAATAAATAAAAAACAGAAAAGTCATAAATGAATGTGAGCCATCTTGTTTATTTGTGATTTTACATCAACAATAGGAGGGGAGGGGCACACAATTCCGTCTTTCACACGATAAACAACAAGAAAACGAGCATATAGTTATGTTAACATCAATATAGAACAAGACGTACATAAAGATTATATTCAGTGCAAAGAAAACATCTACTCTACATCACCAGCACATTAAAATAAGAGTTCCCTTTTTAAATTTTTAAAATCCTTGTAATTGTTGCAGGTATCATCATACGCAGTCCATGTGCGTCATAGGCAGTTTTTAGTTGTTGGGGAATATAGCTTGCAATCAGATCAGAGCGATGCCACGCATGTGTGGAATATAAGAAATAATGCGAGGACAGAGCTCTGAGCTTTAGGTAGTGCTGTGGTACAATCTTCCAAAACTGGCTTTCAGCTAAATTGTCTTCCCAAGACTCCAAAAAGGAAAGAAAAAAAATTGTCTTCACCAAGTGTTTATTGTATATCGGCTAAAAGCTATACACATAACTTAATAATATAAGGTTGACATATAACACTTTTAAAATAAAAAAAAACCCATATGAAATCTCTTTATTCAGAAATCTCTATTGCAATTCCCCCAGGTTAACATAGGTAGCATCAAAGGATTTCAAACAGTTGCGTTTCCCTGGTGATCCTTGGAACAATGAAGGATGTTGGAGGAGCTTTCATGGCTAAGTCGGTGTGTGTGCCATTCACATAAACGCAGAGGAAATGATGAAACCAAAACAGTTATTTAACAAATCAAATTATGTGTGCTTAGCCTGAAGTAACAGTGTAATGATGTGTTACAGGACTACATTTCTTTAAAAGTTTGGAGTCTGAAATGAAATGTTATTGCATCTATTTACAACAAGTTGGCGTTATTGGTCATGGGTTACTATAATGTCGACTTTTTATAAAGAGAATTAAAATTGAATAAAACAAACAAAAAAAATAGCAATTTTCAATCTAACATGCGTTTTTAATTTGCCCCTTGTATTCTTGTGCATGGGTGAGAGTCCTATCATTAAAGAAAATTCTAGCGTTTTGTTGCGTCTCCAAAATTGCAATGCTGGATGCTTCTGGGACAATCGAGTGGAGAATTTAGTCTATTTATGACAGTAATATGGGATTCCTGTTCCCTCTTGACAAAATAAGAAGGGTGGTCATAAAAATGACGCTCTCTGCCTCCTTGTGGCTCTTCGTCTGTTTATGGGACCTTTCTCCTTTTTTTTTTCTCGTTTCCAGCCATATAACCATAAAAAGGACCATAAAAATCACTCCTTGCTTTCTTCTTTCTCTTCCGCTTCTTTTTCTTCTCCCTCGTCCCCGTCACCGTCCTCGTTGCCCTCTTCTTCGGCCTCGGCTTCGGCCTCTCCTCTCTGACCCGGAAACTTGTCTTTGTTGTTCTCCTTTTTCCACTTCATCCTCCTGTTCTGAAACCAGATCTTCACCTGGCGTTCGGTGAGGCTTAGGGCGTGGGATACCTCGATCCTCCTCTTGCGGGTCAGGTAAGGGTTGAAGAGGAACTCTTTCTCCAGTTCCAGGGTCTGATAGCGGCTGTAGGTTTGTCTCCCGTTCCTTCTGCCTGGGGCTTGGGTGAAATAAAGCCAGAGGTTAGCAGGAAAAAGCACTGGGAACAATCAGCTGGGAGAAAACTTAACATAAAAATGCAAAAACAGTCAATGTTATTGGGATTTTCTTGGAGGATAAAATCCCTTTTCACGATGGGGTTGGGTAAAATAGTAGCAACTATAAAATAATTGCCCTCTATTATGCATGTAGATTTGGGACTTGCTAATGACATATCTATCTATCTATCTATCTATCTATCTATCTATCTATCTATCTATCTATCTATCTATCTATCTATCTATCTATCTATCTATCTATCTATCTATCTATCTATCTATCTATCTATATATATATATATATATATATATATATATATATATATATATATATATATATATATATATATATATATATATATATATATATATATATATATATATATATATATTACTATAGCAATCCAACCCGATTGGTTCACTAGATTAATTCCCTTGACACAAATTCATGCAATGTCATGCATTATTGGATATTAGGCTGTAATGAAAGATTTTCTTACTTTAACACAAAAAAAAAAAAAATTCAATGACAATTTGTGATGGGATGCCCATTTGATGCAACGAAACTGCATGCAGTTTGTATCTGTATCCTGATTAGAATGGCCCATGATGATTGGAATCACATTACCCACAAAGCTCTCACGATTATGACCAGTTAGAGCCTGGGCCACAGTAGGCCTGTGGGTCAAATTACCCCTTAAAGACTATGAATAAAAGGATTCTGTATGTTCGAGGGGAAGACTAAACACGGTAAGAAAAAAAAAACAGTGTCATATTTAATGCTGATCCTCCATATATAATCATCCCACCATCTTCTCAATAGAGGATCTGCAAAAGCTAAAGGGAAGAATAATTTCACTTCAAAGAACATAGTTGTTATGAGCAGGGATGTGTAATATTCAGCGGTTTGAAAGCAGCCCTGTACAGACATGTGCTGCAAAGGAACAGCTGCCTGCAGCTCAGGTTGTATCTGCCCCATCATGTTGCCTCATTTATTTTAATACAGTGTTATAAAATACACGTTGGGCATATACTTAACACTCATGCACATTCAAACAGACAAAACTAAGGTACAGAAAGAGGAAGAGAGATGAATAATAAGAAAAGAAAATAGTGTTTGATTCTGACCGTGGGGTCTCATCCAGGGAAACATAAGACTGGGAGAGGAGTTTTGATTTAAGTGGCCTTGTCCTTCTCCGGGGTTAGAGCTGCTCGACGATTTACAGTCTGGGTATTGCGCTAGGCTCGCGTCTTGCTGGGCACCATAAAGCGTTTGCCTTGGAAGGGCTTCGTATCCATAAAATTTCGTCGCGTCACCGTGGCACGCCAGAGCACAGGGGTTCTGCTGGTATCCCGGGTTGGAGATCCCGGTGGTCCCGTGGTGGAAAAAGTCCTGCACATGATGGGACGGGTGCTGGAAGCCCGGCGCAGCGGCTCCGGGTCCGTAAACCAGCGTGTGGCTGCGGGCAACGCTTTGTGGGAACCTGCAGTCGTAGTAAGTTGGCTCCAGTGACTCACTGCCTTTGTATTTAGAAAAAAGAGGGTTAACAAAATAGGAGCTCATGTTCGGTTAAGCATCAAGCAGATTCGGGTTTTCTCTCTCGCGCGCAAGCTGAAGATCTCCTGTAGGATGATGGCAGCCTTTTGTTTGGGGTCCCAACTCTCGCACACAGCGTGCACACACAGACAGACAAACCGGAACTGGGAGAAACGCTGCCCCTTTGGACAATCTACGGCAGCTCACTCTCTCAGAGCCGTTCCTCTCATCGGATTTCTCGCGTCGTGAGCTTCTTCTTTTTCCTTCCCTCCGGTTTGCGCACTCTTAAACCCGGTTCATGGCATGCGCTTGGGATGTGTTAAAGCTGGCGGCACAGTCACAGACGGTGCTCTTTTCTTTCTTTTTATTTTTTTCCCCAAGCTTCCCACCCAACCGCCCCCACCTCCCCTCCTCTGTAGCCCCCCCACCCCTTCATCTTTCCGTGACCGGTCAGACGTGGGCCCTACGTATATCCACCTTGTATGAAGCTTCACTAATCATAACCCAGCTATCTAATAGGCTGTAAATATGATCAATGTTGTGTTTATCACAGCAGAGCTTTGTTACAAGTTGACCACAGGCGTTTATAGGTTTCAAATGATGCACTTCCACTGGAGCCTACATTTATTGATGCAAAGGCGTGCTTAAGATAATGATGATTTCCCTTTTAAAAAGGACATAGATTTTGTGATTTTGGAATTATATTTGACCTGTAATGATCAAGTAATAACAATATCCGTGATCGTTACACCGTTGCGCAACATTGAAACACGAAAACTAGAAAACATGCAGCAGAGCGGCTTTTAAAATCATGCATTTTAAGGCAAAAGTTTTCTCACAGACGTACAGCCAGTGAAGGCCATGTAGATGCATTTGGGGTCATCAAGCGCTTTCAAACACCACGACACACCAATAACAAACCCGACATAGAAGAACTATACGCAGCCACAAATATACCCCATACAAAATAACAAGGATCAGCACTAAATCTCTCATAAGGCAAGGTTCATAAAAAATGTATACCTTTGGGGTGTTTGGCTATGAATACAGTGTCAACGCGTTCTGTAGTCCTTCATATGGTCCCTTAGTCCAAATATGCCAAGCTGGTTATAGTGGAGTCGCTGATGTTTTATACGCATCATCGTAAAATGTGAAAGGAGCACTGGGCGAGTTTATAGACCTTTTACACTCTATAAATATGCAGATTGCCAATCACTTCTTAGAGACTTTGGACTGCCTGAACACACATTAGAAACTGAGTGGGACTAGTGAGAATTCAGACGTGAGTGTGACAATTCAACATAAAAAATATAAACATTTATGAACTTCCCTTCATTGTAGATATTGGTTTATCATAATCATCATCATTATATTATATTATTATTATTATTATTATTATTAATATTATTATTATTAATATTATTATTATTATTAGTATTATTATTATTATTATTATTATTATTATTATTATTATTATTATTATTATTATTATTATTATTATTATTATTATTATTAATAATATTATTATTATTATTATGTGTTCTTATATGAGCAATAAAAATACATTTATTGTTGACTTTGTATACTGGTGTTGAAAACTGCAATAAAATATGCTTTGTTACGAAAAAAGGGTTTTCTGTGTTTTTGTTTCAATGTTGACCTTTTTAGCAAATAACGTGTCCCATATTCTATACATATTCTAGAGGATACATATACATATTCTCTGCTACACTTTTCATTATACATACACACACACATATAGGCCTATACATATATATATATATATATATATATATATATATATATATATATATATATATATAGATATATATATAGATATAGATATATATAAAACAAGGCACTTTTATTTATAGAAAAAAATACATATATATATATATATATATATATATATATATATATATATATATATATATATATATATATATATATATATATATACAAGGCACTTTTATTTATAGAAAAAAATGCATATATATATATATATATATATATATATATATATATATATATATATATATATATATATATATATATATATATATATATATATATATATATATATATATATATATATATATATGCTTTTTTTTTATTAAAAAAAGTGCCTTGTTTAGTAGTATATTTTGATGCCCCATGGAAAGCCCAGCTCTGTGGCCTATTACAGCAAATGTGGTGCCTGGACATATCCGTCACATTGTCATCGGTGGGGTTACTTTTCACTCTTTAGCCAAGCCACAGACGTGTAAAACAACCCCTCCTTTTAACACAGAGATCCTGGTAAACGTTGACCAACAGCGTCATCTAGTGTTCGGCTACATCACTTAAACTAAACGGTTCGACCAATCAGAAACATCCGTGATGCGGATGTGAACGGCGTCCCCATTTTTCCATCTTAAACATTGGTGGATGTCTGTCTTTCACTTTAATAAATTAGCAGACCAAATATATTAACAAGAAACTGCTGCCTGTGTTGTTTTTTGTCTGACATTTTTAACCAACTGCTCTGTTTTCTGTTAGTGACTACACATTTCTCGGATATATCTGCAGTAAAGGTCTAATATTTGGCATAATAATTATTGATTTTTGCCCATCCAATTGTAGACTAATCGACCACTCTTGTGATGAAGTGCAGGGGTGGCTGGCTATCAGTGGATAGGAAAAGGTTCCCCCACAAGCAGTGCTTTGAACGAGTCCTGCAGCACCACCGTCCATTAAAACCATAAAGTAATTTAGCCCAGACGTCTAGCCAGCAAGTCGAGTTTGCTTTGTTCGTCTGCATTTGAGACAAACAGTCCCTGCACCAAGAGAGGCTGTAAAACTGGCATTTTTGTCCGAGTTGAGCTGAGCGGAAATGCGCTTGGATCGGGCTTTGAAATTACAGCATCCTGTCCACATTGTTTGCCACCACAAAAAAGCAATTTAGGCCTATCCCAGGAAACAAATGTGAGACAAGGGAAATTGTCTCTCACTTAAATGTTTGGCCGTTCAAATTCTGTCAGCAGATTTTTCCCCTCTCATTTCTGTAGGCTTTGAAGCCTTGGCGGACATACATAGAGTTTTAAACCTCACTGCAGTGTGTGCCTGTGTTGACGTGTGTGTAAGAAAGAGAGAGAGTGTGTTTGCGATTAAACGCAAGATTAAGAAATAAAAGAATGATAGTGATAGGATAAAGATAATCGAATTTAACATTGCAAATTTGTCTTCCTATTATTTAAAGTCATTGAAATTGTGCACTATTGCAGCTGTAATGTGTATTTTCAAACAAATCATTTTGAGTTTGTTATTTTGAAATGATAAACCATAAAAATGAGACCCGTGTTGGCTTAAATGGAGTGCATGAGGCTATTATTAAGAGAGAAAAAATAATAAGTATGGTTTACCTTTATTTTTAACCACAAATTAAGCAAAGGCCTAATTATGGCATTTGCTTTCATCGTAAAACGTTTATGGTTCAAACATCCTTGCTGCTTTTAAATAAAGAAAACAGGTTTCTTCATTATGACTTGCATTATAATAGTCCCGTCTAGCAACTTTTCGCTGGAATCTCATACCAATGAAGACAGAAACAAGCGCTTAAGTGGTTATGATTATATTTACAGAGAACTGTATAGCTACACTCTATAATTAAAACTCGCCAGATACACGGTAAAACTATTAAAAGAAAGAAAGACAAAATGGATTCACATACAGCAACAGCTATCACAAAATACAACACAGAGTAGGCGCTCGCAGATGCTTCTGAATCTGTACAAAATACTCTCCACCTGCGCTATTGTTTACAAAATGAAAACAAAAACAAAGAGGAAAATACAATAACATCATAAATTATAGTTTTTTCGTTTGAAATTTAAAAGAATTCAAGTATTGTCTTTCTTCTGTCAGTTTTCGTCGCATCCAAAAGTTGCTTATTTATATTTTCTTACAAAGAAATATAAACGTGAAAGCAGAATGTTTTCCCATCAAAAAAATCTCTCTCTAGTTTTATTTTCCTTTTTTTATTATAAGTTTTAATTGTGCACTAAATAATAATCAGCAACAAACAGTTTGAGGTTAATGGTACCACAAAAGAATAAATTCAAGAAAGTGATGAAGGGTAGGGGAGGCTTTTTGTTCTGGTAAATCTGTGCTGTCCGTGTATTTTTTTTATTATTATTATTCATTTGTCAATTAAGTAATTTTCACACTGCAGTCCGTTTTTATGATTCCTTGCTGTCGCTCTTGTCCTTGTTCATTTTCTTCATCTTCATTCGCCGGTTCTGAAACCAGATTTTGACCTGCCTCTCGGTCAGATTCAGTACCCTTGCGACCTCGTATCTGCGGTCTCTGGTGAGGTACATATTGAACAAGAACTCCTTTTCCAGTTCAAGAGTCTGGTACTTTGTGTAAGGACATCGCTTCTTCCTTGTGGAGCGGGCATGTATCCAATTGGCCACGGGGTTGTCTGTAAATGAAAAAAAAATATATATATATATATATATGTTAATAAGAATGCTATAACAAATTATAAGCAGCCTAACCAGAAAATATAGAAAAATATGGTCAACCTACATAACAACTTAAACCAAAATTAACGTGGATAATAAAAGATAACCCCAACACAGAGCTATTCTGCGCTGATTTGCTCTCTTAACTTTTGAGTAACACCGTCGTAAAATAGTGTGCGTATTCACTTTATTGGCCCATAAAATGGCCCGTGTTTCAAGCCTTTACAAGTCCGTGGTGAAAGTCCTATAGTTTGTCCCTACATTCCTCAAGTTGCCTGTGGATTAGCTTTGGAACAAATAAAGCAAAGCAACTTGTACATTAGTGTCTGTTAACACACAATTGTGTCAGTAAGTAAGTAATATAGTCATAGTCGGTAAGAAATATATTGGTAGAAAGTGGAGTTGCTGCACGTTAAGGCCCTATGGAGAAAAAAAGAGTACTAAAGTTGGCTTGCATGCCGCCTTTCACTGACACAAGGGTCAAAATATACTCGTAAAGATGAATCATGTGCAGTTAACTGATGAACAGATTCGTATGTCAGATTCAGGGTGTTCTCTATGAAATAAAAAAGGTCTAAAGTCCTGCAGCATCCACCCAATTTCAACGTCTACATCCTGCACCTTTTAGTCCATGTTTATAACCCCTTCTGCTTTTATAGCCCCCCGATATTAGCCTGGTAGCGTTTGTCTTTTACTGTTCCTAAAGCTTTCCCCTCTACAGCACAGGCGTTTCACATACAAGTTGAAAGGAATACGGAGAAGCAGCCTACGATTTCAATTTACGGCAGCTTTAGTCAGAAACAACAATCCTTCACTGCTGTAAAAGAAGCATTGACTTACTGGGATCTAGCTCCGGCTTTTCCTCCTTATGCTTCCCAGGCGCCAGAAGCTCTGACTCTGGAGAAGGGACATTCTGCGGCGTCTTGTCTCGCATGTCAGTGGATGAGCAGTACAGATAATCCGTGTAAGTCCGTCCACCGGAGCTGAGGCACTCCCCAGCTCTGTGCTCCTGAAAGGCGTCGGGCTTAAGTCCGTAATGCCTGCTGTTTCCCGGATAGCCATGGAAAGGGACGGCGCCTGAGATCGGCTCCAGCCATGAGCGCATATACCTCGACTCTGTTCCTAAATGGGGCTGATGGCTGTACGGGTGGTAGACCACTGATGACTGGGAGTGTCCGGGGGCCCAGGACGTGGAAAAGACCGCCGGCTTGGGTGCAAAACTACAGGAAGGATAGTCGGCGCACTCCGGGACTAGGGACGTCGGACGGGGGCCAGCTGGGTGCGAACCAGACGCCGAGAACCGAGTCGCAGCAATAACATCCTCGCTCTCATGGTTGATCAAGGAGTCCACATAATAATTACTTATGGGACCCGTGGTCGACATGTCGAAGCCTCACTCTACTCTTTTACATGCATCCGTTTATTATATGGAGTGTATGTGTACTTTTTTATCTAGCCATAGAACAATCAAGGCAGGTAATTATTTCTCAAAGCTTCCCTGGTTCCTATTGGCTGGCCCACCAACACGTGATTATATTTACCCCCACAAAAATTGTACAGTGGATCAATGCGCCACTTATCCAAGGATACCAATGCACATAAATGGGATTAAACAAAGTGATCTTTCACTCCTTTTCCTGGACCTATGGAGGTAATATTAACCAAAACGTTTATTTTCGGTTTATGTGGAAAACATTCATGCGCAGTGCAGCCGCTGGGTTTTTATTCAGTCGCAGCACAGACCTGCGCACATTGCGTGTTAAAGCAAGGAACTATTTTATGGTGTAATTAATCTCTGTCAGAGCTCCATGCTACTTCAGTGGATACTGCATTAACGCGTTTATTGAATCGTTGGCTCGTTTTATCCTCGCAAAACCAGCATTTGATAAAGTGAATCGTTTATAACTTCTCGTAGAATGCTGTTTATTGTTTTTCAAGGATATATAAAAAGAAATGCCTTCACAGCAGCTGCAGCAGGGGAAAGTGGACGGTGAAAAGCGGGGAGAATCAAAATACGGGATGCAGTTTGCACGGCATTTAACGAGGGCCTGCAGACCAAACATTCCCTAAATGGGTTTTGTGGAGATACATCCGAGGAGGGGATTCCGAAAGCTGACAGACTCACAGCCCACTAAAAAAGCCAACTATTTTCGGCCAGTGACCGTTCAAGGTTTTATGCCCATCAATAAATTTTAACGAGAACCATTTGATTGTTCATAAACGTGTCGTTAATAAGGAGTGCATCTGAGATCCCTGCTAAAATTAACAGTTGACACCACTATGTGTGTATCCAAAAAGAAAAAAACTGAGAAAAAAAAAACAGAACCGCAAAGGGGTAGATCAAACATAAAAGATAAAGGGGATTATTTAAGGAGGATAAAGAACACTGAAGCTTTCTTAAAATTGTACTTTTGTAAACTTTACTTTTATACAACATACATAATCAAACAATTTGAGAGTAATTTGTCAGATAAACGAGAAACAGAGATGCACCGACACAGCAAATAACATAACACTACAAAAACGAAAAATAGCGGGCAAATAAAACACAACCTGCTTTTTGAATATGTGGATACAAAAGAGGTTTGATTCTTGCAGTACAAATACGCATTTAGTAATATTGAGTTTAAAATATAAAATGGTTTGTTTTTATCCAAGATAATAGCTTTTTTCTCCCATTCAAAATGTGCAGGATTTGTGTAAAAACATTTTTCCTTTAACCAATGTGCTGATAATGACGTGTTTAAACACAAGCTACAAACAGAAAAGGGACTTGAGTTTGTTTAACTGCTTACAACCAAAATACCTGTTCTAAAAATAAATTCAAACAATCTGAGCAAATTGAACAATTTGGGTTGGGGGCGAGGTGGGGTGTTTTTTTGTTTTTTCAAAGAAAACATTGTGATAGTGTCAGGTTTCTGCTAATGACTGAGTTCAGATTCAACCATGAAACGTAAAAGGCCAGACTCTAGACCACATCGCCAAATGGTCTCATGGTGTGGCTGTTGATGAACGCGTGTGACTGAAGAGATTTCAACATTTTACCCCGAATTTACAAAAATGAACAGATCCACATTGAATAAATATCTATACTAATCCAATTAGCTTTTTTAAATAAGTTGTTTTCTACATACTGAAAGCGAATGTCTCTTTATTCATCTCATATTAGAAAGTTAGTGAATCACACTTAGCAGCCATTTATTACTGCAGCATTCAATCATAAATGCACTATATATCCTGTATTGATGTCTACAGCACTAAAAAGAGATCAGTGCTATTGTTATGGAAGAGCGTCTGATAGTCTGCTTCAAATGTGTCTGCTCTGCTTGTGTGCGCGTGCGTATGTACGCGCAAATATTTGCACTGTAAGTGTTTACACATTCATTCATATAAAAAATATTTTACAATATATATTTATAACTTATTTTACCAATTTTTTTTATCTTTAATAAAATATGACTACATAAAATAACTGTGTGCTTTTCTCGTTTTGTGTGTGTTTTTGTATGTATTTCTTGCAAATTGCAATGTGAGTATGTGTGATGATGTTATTGAAGATAACTAGGCACTTTAATAATAGAAAAATATATCACCATGAAAAAAATAAAGATTAGTAATTGATAACTCCCAAAGCACTGGAAAAATGTGGTTCCAAAGATGACAAAGCAGCCGCTCTACCTGCTTGTAACCAGTTTTATTTCTAACATAGAAAATATGTTCTAGAAGTCCTACCCAATTGGAAACATCAAACTATTTCTTCACTGGAAGTTTGCAGGATTCTTGTGTGTGTTTTTATAGTGCTACGTTTCAAGTCTGCCGTAGCTAGAGCTTTTTTCACTACGTCATCAGTGATAGGAAAGTAGCATAGCATTAAGGCTATATCATATCGCCATCAAAGTGCAAGCTGAAAACAAAAGGTGAAAAAGTAGTATAGCTGCTTCCAAGGTCCACAAACATCTATTTAAATGCAGCTATAACCATATCCTTCTTAACACAATACATTTAGAACCCGTGTTGAACATGCTCTTAAGTTTTTAAGTGTTTTCTTTATTTTGACCCTATCAATTTAAAAATAAAAAGGAGACTCGATACATTTAATATCATATACTACATAAAAATCATTGTTTTATTCAGTATGAAAAAGGCGTTACTGCCTGATGAAGCTCAAACTCTTGAAAAGTGACATCATTTTCTGGTAACGTTCCATGCTTTGTCATCTGCAGAGATCAAACAAAATAATTTATCATAGAAGAATCGCGCTTGCTCTTAACTAGAAGTATCAATACTGAAAGATACTGAGAAATGGTAAAAAACAAAAAACAAAAAAAAACAAAAAACAAAAAAAAACAGCGAAATAGCTGGATAGTTTTACGTGAATATATGATAAAAAAATTATAAAGCCAAATCAGTAGAGCATTTTAAAGACATTTTTAAAGTGAACACGTCCCCCCTTCACGCTACCTCTATCCAATAGAAAAATACACTGAGAGATCAGTCAGTGTCATATTTGGACCAGCCTTTTTGCTAAAAAGACGCACATGGGCATTCAAAGGGAATACCAAGAGTTATTTATAAAAGTCCCATGTGCTGAGCAGACAGTGCAGTTGAGACATAGTATTATGATCTGAATAGGCCAATTGATCTTAAGGACTACTACACTAACTGGAATTCTCTATCAAAGCTTCAGGTTTTAGATAATCCACCTTCAAATGGTATTGTGTTACCTTGAAATTAACATAGCTATCTAGTAAAAGAGAGCTCCCGCAGTAATATGTTGTGGTGGTAGGCTATTTATACAAAGTAATTTCCTCAATGTTGATAGTTGAAACAATGAATAATTTCAAATCTTCCGCGTATAGTGACAGAAAAAAAAAAAATCAAGTCAAAGTGCGTATCTCATAAATAAACCCCAAAACGCCGAGCCAACAATTTAGGTTTCAGAAAAGAAAAAATAAGCGAAGATAAAAACATGTAAGCCTAGATATGGTTTGCGTTTCAGGCCAATTGTCTTTTTATACACACATTTTTATCACGCATAGAAACACAATCAGATATAAAATATGAAAACAAAAGTAAAATCACATGCCAGAGAATCTTCATATCATTAAATTACTGAAATTTTCGAAAATCTTTTCAAGAATTGTCCAACAATTACAGTCTTACGATTTCTTTCGTTGTCTGCCTTCATAACCAGATGTACCAAATAACTGATGAGGCTCCTTATTACTAATATCACTTTAGAATATGTTTGGGAACAGATTCTGTCAAGGGCGAAAATGAAACCGGATACAAATTTCCCTAATGTCTGAGATATATTGTTAGAATAACATCCTTGTTTTCCTCTACAGACGCGCCTCTCCAAGGCTTCAGTTTCTACAAAGAGCGCCACTTACAGTGTGGAATAAATGGTTATTAGTGTATGGTTTCTAGTTGTATCTGTGTAGTTCTCTCGCGATGGACTTTGTTCTGTTGTAGTTATGTCTTAGTAAAATGTTGCATTCCAAGAGAGACGCTAATTCACGGAGCTGAATGAAAATGACTTTGGATTCCAGACTGTCTCTTCTAAGTGGCGTTAAAAGGAGGGGGCTGAGAAAAAGAAAAGAAAAACGGAATAGAGAAAATCTGACCTGGTTTAAAAATATATATTGATAAAAATGACAAAAAAACAGACAGAAAACTGTCATCACTTGATAAGTTATGATTGACTTATATGTATCAATGAACAATTTATTTTTTTTACTTTTCATTAACTTATAAATAAATAAAAATAAATAAATATTATTAATACTAAAAGCAGTAATCTAAAGTCAAATTTGTAAGGGTTTTTTTTTTTAATAAAAACTACCGCAACAGAGAAAAGAATGAATGTTAAAGTGGTTCCTTTAAATTCAAGATAATCAAAAAAACAGTGTGACATCAAAGGTAAGAAAGAATAAAGAACAGTTAAAGCTAATTATGAAATAAAAAGTGACATTTACCAACCAGCAAAATGTTACTTAAAACAAAACCCTTGCGCTTGTCTAATTAAGTGTAAGCATTTTTTGTATGCAATATTTTGATTATAAAGACCACAGATTTTTCATTCAGTTCTTCCAAATAAAAAAATACAATAAAATAAATGTTTTGCAGTCAAACCTGAATAATATTTTCACAAAAACAGCAGCAGTCATGCGCTCGATTTTTAAAATTAAATACCACAAAAGCAGCTGTCGGATGACTTAAAATTAAAATGAATTCCTTTATCAGTGCATTTTGCTTTCAACGTGAAGCCATGAACCACATAGCACACAAACCTCTGAGCCGACAGATGAAACACAAGACGTTCTAAAAGTTTACCAAGCTTGTTTACAGCCTATTCTCCTTGTGAGAGCCCCAGGAGCTTTTTACAGCCCCGTCACAAACTAACAGCAACCAAACAAAACTTTTCTGTCCAAGGTATAGCAGTCCAGTTCATTTACAATGCCATTTGCGGGGGGTAGGGGGAATCTGGAGGTGCCTATGGGGGGACAATTCAGCGGAAATTGTGCCCTTGATGAAGACGAACTGACGTAATCAAGGCAGTTTCTTGTTGCCGAGTCAGGAAGCCAACCCCAACAACATGAAACTACCTAAACCACGCTTCAGCTTCGCGCAAATATCCATTGCAATGAGACAACAGTACAAAAGGCAACAAGAAGATGAGCTAAAACCAACAGAGATTGGAAGAAGGCAAGTATAAACTCAACAGATACACCATGTTATGCATTGCTTGTTTTCTTCTTAAATTGTTTGCATGCTTCGTTTGGCGTAAATAACAGAGGGATACAATTACTAAAAAGGAATAGTGCTTCACTATCATAGTTAAGCAAAGTTTTACAAATAATACCCATATTCAAGTATCAGCAATCATGTTGCTCAAATAACCATATGCATTTTTTATTATTAAAAAAGAAAAGGGAGAATAGCAATTAACAGCATGCCTATTGGATTATTTATACCAAGCATCTTAATGTAAACTACAGTGACATAAGCAGGCATGCACAGAGCGTGCCACACAAGCTGTCAGGCAAGCCCCGCTGACAGCTTTGGCACAGCCTCCAAATCAGAAAACAAAATCATCCATCCTACCTTTCTTTGCCTCCTCACATCCACACAGGTGCGATCCTATTGTCCCGGTGCTTATTCCGCTTGCAGCCTTTGCCTTGTCCCTTTATTCTCCATGTTTCTTATTTAACTGCAGGAAAAAATCTCCAGTATTTTCTTCTGCACCCCGCCTGCAGTGAAGGGCAGCGGTTCCTGCTACTCCCTGCAGCCCAAGCAGCGCCTCGGCTGGCTTGCTGCACTTTGCACGGGGCTCCCTGCCTTGTGGAGTAGTCCTCCTCCGCACACATACACACACACCTTTAAACGCATCTTTTACTGCTGCGGCACATTATATTTGCAGATCATAAAATCCACCCCCAACGCTTTCCAGGGCGAACCTGACATTAGAATTTTATGACCTTGACTTACTGTGGTCACCTGGATAATATTTAAATCAACGTTATGGTCTCTCAATTCTATTAAAACTGCCATGATCTCCTACTTCCTATCTGCAGTGTCTTCCCTCCCTCACATTTTAAAACCCAGTGTGCTAAGGGAAGGACAAAGTTGGTGGTACTTCTCCATTTTCTCCTCGGTTTTTATTATTTTGGAACCGTTTAGCATGACAGAACTTAATGTCACCTTGTGCATGCACGTTACACAGCACGGAAATGCCACAGACACCGAAACGAAGAAGCAGCAACACACAAGTAACAAAACATTACGAACAACTCGGCAATGTGACAGTGTCACTGTAAATGTACTGTCTGACAGAGGCTGCCTCATAGTCAGTTTCATCAAAACAATTCCACCGCAATCTTCCGATTTCTATGCAAGATGCAGCTTCTCTGATCATCAGAAGGCACCCTTAATATGTGTGTGTACACATATACAGAAAACTGATAAAAGCATTACAAAATTACGCATGCATGTCTTATAACTGTCCCTCGTCGTGTCTGAGTGCAAGTGAATATGTTTAGAGCTAAAAGTGTCTTCAGGAGTAGTTGTAAACTGCACTCTGCTCCCTTTCTCGACTCTCCCTGTTTAGCTTCTTGAGCTTCATACGTCTGTTTTGGAACCAGATCTTGACCTGTCTGTCGGTCAGGTTGATACTGCGGCTGATCTCCAGGCGGCGCTCCCGAGACAGATACATGTTGAACAAGAACTCCTTTTCCAGCTCCAGTGTCTGGTGCTTTGTGTAGGGACACCTCTTCTTCCTTCCACTTTTGACTTTTAACCAGCTTCCCGTTGTCTTTTCCGCCGATAAATCATCTATCAAAATGGGAAAAACACAGCAATGAAAGTAGTAAGGCAATAGCAATGAAAAAAAAGTAGAGAATAAATCCTGGCAGTAATTGCTGGGCAGAGACGCTGTAACCAATGCGCACTCATATCCGGTATAACACCCAGAACTCCTTAAATGACATTAAAATCTGCAGTGAGTCAGAGTAGTTTTGTCTTGATCTGGACGCTTCCTTCCCACTTTAACAAATGAGGAGCACCGCTCCTTCGACCCACTAGACTACTGGATACAAATTGCTTTTTGCGTGATGTACAACTGTAATTAGATCAAATCAAACCACCCAAAGAAGCAACTACTATTTTCTTTGTTGCACCTCAGACTCCCATAAAATTTTATTACCGTTTCAAGAGGCAAAGGATTTTTCCTCGAGGTTAAAAACGTTCTTTGTAGTATAAGTTTACTTTTATTTTGTTATGGGGGGTTAATTTAAAGGAAAATGAAAATTTTAAATATAGTAAATCAAATTTTTATATATAAAACAAATGAATGAACCAATAATTAGATACTCCACGACGAATGAGTTTTTGATTAACTCCACAGAGTCAAGGGAGTTACGCCTCTGTTATCCACAAACGCACCCAGGCGAGTGGCAGCAGTGATTAGTCTAATGTGAACTCTCAGCGTGTGGCCAACATTTAATAATTTCCAAAACATTTAATTTAGTACTGGAGTACAAAACTCACAAAAAACACACACACCGACTCACACAGACGCACCACGCCTGTTCTTACCCCCCGCCTCGACCTCCCTCCCTTCCACCCCACCCAATAACACACACGCACACTTATACACACGCACAAATACAATGAATGATTGCAAAGGCACACACTTTCAATATGTTTACCTCAAAAATTGCTGCTTAAATTGAGTGAAGTAGAATAAAATCCATTAATTTAATGGAATAAAATAGAATTTACTTAAATACAATACCCGAAATACCAACTTCCACCCTTTAAAAACTTACTAATGTTACAAGTATCTCTTTAAATCGTCAACAGGTCTTGTGGAAATTAGAAAAGGCCTATTTGTGATTCACTCAAACCCAAAAGTAAATATAGGAGCCAAAATTGGGATGGCAATTCTTGTAAATTGGCGCTATATAAATAAATTGAATTGAAAATTATTAATATGACAACAGACACGGTTATTAAAATTACAATGTTTCACAAAGACGAATATATGCCTACATAATCATAAAAATAGGATAAAACTTTGTCATACTGTTTTAATTGACCTAGTGTGAAACGAATATTAACCAAAACGAGAAATAAAACATATCTTTATATAAACATAATTATATAAAACAATCTAAAATTGCGACAATCTCAAAGTGAGACGTGTTTTCAAGAAAAAGTCGCAACCTTCCCGCAAAAGAAAAATATCTCAAATGTGCACCATGTATAAAGGGAAGCTCGACAAATGGTTCCTAAGAAAGTTGTGCTTTGTTGGAAAACAATAGAAGTTTTGAATAATTTATAAAACAAATTCTGCAGTTCTAAACTGTTGATCCTTCATGCTCCAGGTATACAAAAACTGCAGGATATTTTCGCTTTGTTTCTTGTGTCTGAAACGGTCTCTACATTGGTGTGCAGGCGTCCATATTTTTGAGAGAGGGAGTGTGTTTATTTTGATGAATACTGCCCATCTCGCATCCTCCCATTAATAAAAGGGTGGTAAATACCAGCGACAGCATAACCCCTGCAAGAATGGGCTGCAGCATATAAACACAAACGCAGCATCCAAAAAGCCAATCCGCTTGAGTTTAAATAGTTAAAGTGAGATTTTTCACATGCATTTAATTATTTGTTTTATTTTATGTGTATTAGTGTTTATTCACGTGAGTCAGGGAGGGGGATCTACCTTTAAATTCCCCGTCTGAGTTATCTGAGCAGCTGTCACTCTTGGCCTTGTCTTCCTTCCTGCTCTCACCCTCATCTGTTTTAGGAGCCTCTTTGGGTGTCTCCTGTGCAGTTTTGCTGCAGCTCACAGTCGATTCTGCTGCTTTTTCAACAGATGACGCCAAGTGGGTCAGCGTCAAGCCGGGGGGCAGTTGCTGCAGCTGCTGCTCGTCCCGCTGCGGCCTCTCCCCGCCATACACCTGGAAATAGCAGCCGCTGGACAAGGCTGCAGTCTGCTCAGGGCGACGGCAGCTATTGTCTCCAAGCCGGATGTATGTGGCCGACTCTGTTGTGTGCTTCCCCTTATTGCTGTCATCTTGATAGAGGCAACAAAACGCCTCCTCTTTGACGCTGCCCGCTGGGAACGAGCAGGGTTGTAAACACTGGTGGGCAACAGGTTGATCGTCTCTGCTGCTTTTGGAGCCTGAGGTCCATGTGGCCAGCTGCGCTGACAGGTAGGGCGCATCCTGGAAGCCGCCGAGCGGGACGCCGCCTGCAGGAACCTCGTCTCTTTTGGAGTGTGGAGATGATCCAACCTTTCCAATATTCCTCATCACCGAGTATCCGTACTCTGCAGCTGAGTGGATGTACATTCCTGGGTTGCTGGAATATCCCTCAGCCCTGTAGGAAGATGATCCTCCCATTAAAGAATCCATCAGGAAGTTACCGGGCGATATGTTATTCGGAAGTGTCATATTTGCATGTAACAACTCTGGAAGGGTGATCACTTGGTGTTTCCCGCCGTTCTAATCTGCGGGGTTCCAGCAAGAGAACAAGGACAGTAGGATGCTGACATCTTTTGGAGGGGGGTGCAAAAAAATATCTGTAACACAATTATGGATGCTCGGAGACATGTCATGTGAGCTTCAGACCAATAGCGGCGTGGAAGTGGCCTTGATGCTCCAGACTGGAGTGACGTCAACGCGGTCAAGTTGGGAAATCTGAAGGTTTTTGATGGAGCGTGAGCGCCACCTAGTGACAGTCTTGCTGCATACAGCTGGAGGCCTTTTGCAGGAAGAACAAAGGACAGACTACTGTTGCAGCTGCTGCGCGGCAGGGATTTATTTAAGATAATCACTGTTTAGTTTGTCAACATTTAATTCTGAAGGGCTGGAGATGGTTGAAGGGGATTATATTCATCCATCGTTTGATTTAATAAAACACTGACGGATGTGGTATGGAGGTGAGAGTAATATGAGAGTGTTTTTGTATTACTGTATTGTTTTTTCTTTCTTTCAATAGTATCGAAATCCCAAAACTGTAAATAAGCGTTTATTTAAAAAGAGAAAAACGCAAGTCCTGTAAAAATAATCTGCAACTGTGTGACGTGAATCTGCGTTTTTCCAGATGTAGATCAGAATGTGGTCAAATCTATAGCATAATATTTTATAAGTCTCATGAAGTATTAGTAGAAATAGCTACTGTAATCAGTGAATTGATGTTATCTGATCATGCTTCGAAATTGAGGTGAAATTTGTACTGATTACCAACTGTGTCGATGTAAAGGAAAATCAAATATATTAAATTATTTCTTATAGTTGCCTTATTTTTTATTCCGTTTAGTATCTTCCCGAAAGCCCACCCCAGCGTAATGAGAAACTGTTTTAACAGGTAGCAATTTTGCAAAGGGTTTTCTTTCATTATGAGTATACTGTGTCGAGAATGAACACGGGGAAACTTTTTTTTCCATTGTACACCCTTTATAGAATTATTGGATTTCAGTTTAAAATTCGTCTATATTCATTTTACCACATGGTTGAATACAAAACCAGGGCAAAAAAAAACAACTGTTTTAATATTAATATTTAATATAATATACTGTTTTCCTTTGTTCATATATCTGGATAACATATGTAAATACAGTAAATTATTGTGTAATAATTATAAGTTAAGACGACAAAAGTGGCTTTACTTAGGAGGGTCGAGAGCAGAGTAGAAAGGATTATTATCAGTATTTTTTTTATATTTTTTTATCAGAGATAAGTTTCCAATTCTCCCTGATTACAGCTGGGTTAGTATTTGTTTTCTTTTTTTGCCTCTGTAATTGATGAGTCCCGGTGACAATTTTCTACACAGCTAAGAGGAAAAGAACGTATAAACATTAATTGTATACATCGTTTCAGAGTTTATTTTTCGATTTACAATACATGCAATCATATAATGATAAAGGAAAAACAAACCATCGATATAAATACATAAACACTCATACCTATGTGTGTACTTTTTTCCCTACATGGTGGATACAATTGTGTGCGAGTGTGTGTGTGTATACAATTTAAGGGGTTTTACAAGAGAGCACAACGTCCTCGATGAGTCTGAAAGTCCTGGTAACATGCTAAAATATACCACAATTGAATAAAAACATTGCGCAAAACGCGTCATGGATACGAATATAAAGATTCAACGCAAGAAGGCTTTAACTAATCTCGTCCTAAGTGCGTTACTGCAGCTTGGTGAGGGTGCTCATCTGGTGTTGTTTTGTCTGCGTGCCCCAGTGTCTGTGTATTTGAGTTAGTGCGTCAGTTTAGTTCAGAATCACTTTCAAAGGCAAGGGCAGTAGCCTACACTGTGTTCATGTGAGCGGCCCTAGCATAATAATATATAGGCAATACCTTTGGACAGAAATTTATATTCGAAATAAATTAAATGCAGCTTTGTGTTTAGCATTTCTTAAAAATTATAGAGAAAAAGTGAATAACTGACTTTAAAGAAGGTTTACAAAAAATAAACAATAGCTTCAGAGTTCTCACCCTTCTGGGTTTTCTGTTATAGTGAAACGCTTCTGGAGAAACAATCATAAAGACATGTGAATGCCTGTCTATGAAGGATAAAAAAAGAAAACAATGACGCCGCGTTCTCACGTTTCTGGATTATCTTATTCAGAGACGTTTCTGAAGAAATTAGAAAAAAAATGTCCAGAAGAGAAGGTTTGAACACGAAAAATACGTTCACGTGATATGTTCACTACGCATTTACCTTATGGAACAGAATTATAATAGCAGAGAGAGAGGCTATCTTATTGCATGACACATTAGCATATAGACCACCACCTGCTTAGAACAAAAATGCACATACAATCTTATTTTACACCAATAAAAAATAACAGGCCTGCTTAGATTTTAAGTTTAGATTTTTTAAGACATGTAAGTGATACGGCCAAAGGTCCCATGATGGAATTTCTCACAGCGTGCAAAAAAAAAAAAAAAAAAATAATCTGTATTCATGATAGTAGAGGACAGAATAGCCGTAAGGCATCATGGAAACGGTTTTTTAATTATAGTGCAAGCAAGAAAAAAATGCCTGGAATTTTTATTATTTGAATCACACTTCTTCAATGAACACACCCCATCCTTGCCCAAAACCTGCAACAAACGGTGGTATTGACATGAATCTGAAATATTACGAGTGTGCAACTGGAGAAATCAAAGCTTTTCAGTTTGACATCAACTACATTCAAAAATGTCCAGAAATAAAGACGATGTTATTTGCATGTCTAAATGTATTTCCACGACATTCTGATTATATATGCGGGCCAAGTTCTTCCATGGAAACGCATTGCTGCTGTTTCACCAAAACGAATTTTGTTTTAATTTTTCTTTTTTAAGCGCTTAAATAAACAAACACAATTCAAGAAAGCAGTACAAAGTCGCACAATAACAGTAGAGAGGAAATCATATCTGCTTGTGTTTATTTTGGTCTTAACATTTGTCTAAACCAATCGGGTTTGATTTCAAACCTGAATGCTGTAATTATAATCCCAGGTAAGACTGTTGAATGTCGAGTGCTTTTTTTTTTTTTTTTTCTGTGACCCAGCAACCAGGAGCTGTGCCGAGACGACATATTCAACTGAGGTCCTGGCAGCCACTTTGAAATATCTTTCCAGTTGGATGTGTGGGAGACTGAGCTTTGTTTTGCCTTTCATGTTGGTGTCCAACCCATGCGCAACTGCGAATTTATGGTTCCAGAATCATGTAAGAGCTTAATTAAACATCACCAGCAAAAGTAAAACAGTGTTACAGAGTTTACAGGAAGCACCAGACCAACAAACAATACACACATGCAGCCATATCAAATTTAAAATCGTTTATTTATTTTAATAAGACTTGTTTTGGTGGCATCAATAAACAGCCCCCCGCAATTGCATTTGAGAGAGAGCTGTTGCCGAAAGAGCAGGAGCTCGTTTTACAGCAAAGAGCTGTTTTATAGCCCAATAGAACAGGTTAGGTGCTGAGACACTGTAGTGTAAAACCATTGAATAGCCTATAACCCTTTGATTAGTATCTGCGGAGGAATAAGAAACGGTGACACTCCTATATTTACCTCAAAATAGAAGATAAACTCGCTAGCGATTTATTCTAGTAGTATTATCTAGAGTATTATTGTAGGTAACGACTAAATTTAATGCAATGCATAGTGGAAAAAGGTTTTAAAAAATCAGAGAAAACACAGTATTTAAAAAGTTTGAGAGACGGAATTTCCTTTTCTTTTCCTATATTGTTTTCTTTCTTGAGCAATTTACCTAAAAAAAAAACTCACTTTTGAAAATAATGTCATTAAGGAAGTTTCTTTATTATGTTTTCCATAGAAACCCATTAAAGTTTCTCATAACAAAACAAGAACTAAACCAGCATTACTCTGTAAAACAAAGCCAATATTACATGTCAAAGGTTTCAGCAACTTCAATGACTTTGATTCCAATTTAGTTTTACCTTTTTATGAGGTACTAAAATCATTGGAAAATGATTACGCAGTCGAACAAGACAAAAGAGTCCACATGTAAAATCTAAAATTAAATAAATAAAAACAACCTTTACTGCATTTGTTTGTGTTGTTGTTTCTTTTGTGGCGTCATTTGGTGTAAAAAAAATTGTTTGTGGTTATAGCTAACATACAGAAAGTTGAAAACAAAGAATATTTGTACCATTTGAAATACCTGACACATTATTTAAAAAGTTTGGTAACTTTATTTTTATGTTGAGGATTGCTTTCATTGGTTGTTTGTTTTTCTGTGATTTTTTTCAAAATATTAAAAAACATTCCCAATTCAATTTTAATAATTTAATAATGTGTGTTATAATTATTTATTTCTTGGAATTTTTCGGCTATGTATCTATGAAGCCAATCATAAATTATATCTTTAAAAAAATGACAGAATTCTAAAACGATACACTTAATATTATTTTTGAAAATTTTAAATACTTTTTCTCTAATGCAATTCAACAGATTTATTTGTATATTTTATATGCCAATGGAAATTTTTAAATTATAATCCACTCACAGATGGGGCCAAACGTTCCTACTGCTAAACATATTATGTTAAAGTTAAAGTGCAAAACATCACAAAACTTGTATTCATTGATTCCTATGTATGCACATTTTTTCTGTCTTCCCATAATTATTATTCTTTAAAGCAAGAAACAACATTCCCTCTTAGATACTCCGAAATGCAGAAAAAAATACTGGAACATGGCTGGATTTAACTGTGCTTATCTTGCATTTTCCAAGAAGATCTGTGGATAAAAGTGAGCCACTACTGCTCCCGTTTCAAATGTTTAGGCTCCCGCTGAGGAAAAGAACAGGGGCAGAGATCAGGGAAGAAGGGATTGCCCCCCGAGTGGTTCATGGACAGCATTCACAGAGGACCCCCAGAGCTTTTTGTTAGTGACGTTGGGTGTTGGAGAAATGAACAAATTACTCACGTCACCGTCAAGGGCCCATGGTTGGTAGGTGTGGCGTAGGACGGGGGCGCCTGTAGCCTTGATCTCCGCCTGTGCGCATGGTCTGAAGGTCCCCCCACCCCCTTTTCTTTACATACAATGCCTCAAGATATGTATTTCACTATAATTATGATATATTTAGCAGTATAGGTTTTAAATAGCAAATCCCGGAAAAGGAAAATCATTTGAAAACAACGACCCTGCTTCCACTAACCCTTTTTTTCACCTTTCAAATTAAAAGCACCATAAACGTATCCAACTGATAATATTTTCAATTGTAAAAATCTTCACAATTACACATTTTTGGTGCAAATAAATTATCATACGTGAATTGATTAACAACTACAATACCACACAAACATACAGACGTTCAGTTTGTGTGAGAACTGAATACAAAATCTGCACGTTAGAACTGCCTCGTGCGTGAACACCTACGGTTTTTTTACAGGGACAATAAAGTGTATTTACAGGACGTGTTAAAGCTAGCAAAGTTACCTGTTGTAGTTTAATGCGAGAGGTCAAAGTTGGTACTGTGGACGCATTCCATTTTCTGTTCCCACTCCCTCCCATTGGTCCGTTCCGCCGCTGCGACCATTTCCGGGCTCCTTGATTCCACTTTATTGCGGCGGGTTAAAGGTGAAGGCCTTGACATTATTGAAGTTCAAAGACTACATTTAATTATAAATTGTGCTTAAAGCACACGTGCAATCATCCTGAGCACATATGGCGTGTGTATCGTCACTTACAAAAGACACATGCGTTAATTCGATCAGTATATGACACACTTAAACACACTACTCTTTCGGTCTCTACAGCACACTTCTTTTGCATGCGTCACAGATCTCATTCATGTCGAAACTTTATTTTTCTCACTCCTCTCTTCTCAGACATCTAGTGTTGCTTGTTTACCATCTAGTGCGGAAGTGAACGCCATTTCCCTAGAACAGACGGTGCAATTAAGAGAAAAAAATAGCCATTTAGTGCCTCTGTCTTTATGGCAGTGTCTAGACTACAAGAGTGGCGATTCCATTTAGTGTCCACTAAAAGAGGTTATCATTCCCTGCTTGCCTGCTCTCTCTATGCAAGATCTAAGCTGCAGTTCGTTTAACAGGCGTGCAAACGTCAGATCAAACGTGAAAACACCAGAAAATCGGATAATAGTTCTAAAAATCATCGCTGATACTTAAGTTTGCAATCATATAACTTATAATGCGTGAATCCAAATTCACAAGCTGTGAACATCAATATATGTTGTTAGTTTCTCGTATTTGAAATGAAGACAAATTACAATTTCCAAAACTATGCAAAAGGCGCAGGAAAAGGCAGCGTTGCGCATTTACCCGGAATAGTGTGCAGTTTAAAAGCAGGACAAAAGCACAAAGTCGTTAGGTTTTTACCTATAGGTTTCTGTTTATTTAGTTATAATGATACACAGGCCGACGTTCTGCTCATCCTCTAAGGGATCCAAAGCACCAAGATGTCTTAAGCAAATAATTTATCAAGAGTCGCCATTAAAGCTTTTAAGGTGGTATGGGCAAGTGTGCTGAAAGATAGCAGCAGGGATATGGGGGAAAAAGATCCAACATATGCCTATTTACAGTCACGAATGCACATTGCATAGGCTACTCAAATATTTTATATATATATATATATAGTAAGGGGGTAATACTTTCACGGAGTGGAAAATCACATATTCTAAGGAGAGAAAAAAATAAAAATAAAAATCCATGATCTGGTCCAGGAAATATTTTAGATACTGATATGCTATATACACTGACCAGAGACTGGAGTAAGAGCTTAAAGTTGTCTGCTGATATTTTAACAAATTTGCCTATAAGAACAGTAGGTTAAAGACAAACAGAGAGTCAAGATAAATAGGACGTTTTCAAGACCAGCATATAAATGATTTTTCTAATATAGGCCTTTCTGTCTGATGGGGGTAAAATAAGTTAGAAATTCATCGCCGCCCCACAGGGCAAAAAAGAAAATGGCGACACCCCCACCCCCTTCCTCATTTAAGGCCTATTTTCTTCCACTGTCCACTTTTTTTCACATTGCACTGTTGGTGATATGGGCTCCTTTTTGTGAAAAAAAAAACACGGTTCTGCCCACGATTACCATTCATTCAATAAGATGAGGAGAAGAAGGAGAAGGCCTGCATGCCTCTTGTGACACTCTTTCTGCTCACAACAAGGGGTTTCCAGAGAAGTACTGCAGGCGATCTCTGCTCAGCTTCTTCTCTTTCATTCTTCTGTTCTGAAACCAGATTTTGACCTGGCGGTCGGTTAGGTTCAACATTCGGGAAAGCTGGAGCCTCTTCTCCTTGTTGATGTAAACGTTGAAAAAGAATTCCCGCTCCAGTTCTCGAATCTGAAACTTGGAATAGGGACACCGCTTCTTCCTTGTTCGAGGGACGCCTAAATGAAGAAAGTAAAATAATTTTAAAAGTACAAAAGCAGACTGAGAAGGGATACAATTTTATTATAATTTCAAATAACATGGTGGAGGACTATTGTGGGAATAGGCTCACCAGGTGCTGAAAACCCAGTGTCAGTGACATTAGCAATGATAACATTCCAGCCTACATTCATCAAGCGAATTAGCTGAGGCTATCAGATAAACCAGCTATAAAGAGTGCTAAATATCCAAAATAGTTTGCAGGAAATAATATCAACTTACTGCCTCACTAAGTACGTGTTTATCTGTTCCAAATTCCCAACAACAAAAAGTATTTTCACCCCGCAATATGTGCAGCACTTTCATCTACAGCTAAAGCTAAACAATTTGCACAATCTTCTGGCAGTAGGTGTATTGCCTTGTATCTGAAACGGCCCACTTGCAGACCTCAGTGGCCCCATCACTCCTTATCAAACAGGTGACCGGGGAAATAGATCTCTTTTATTGTACAGCGGGGGGGGGGGGGGGGGGGGGTGCAAGCGTGGAAAAGGGACAAACACAAGTCTCAGATTATATCCACATACCAGGAACTAAAGGGGCACCAGTAAATTAGTTCGACCTTTAATTTTTGTACATATCTATTAGTTTTATCATTTTCTGATAACGTGGTTTAAATCTTAGGAAGATTAAAAATACAAATACTATTAAAATAAGGCAGCATAAATATATTTTTTTAAAGAATCCTTAAATAGCATGTATCCACCAGATAAATAGCTAGAGACATCTAGATATAGATAGATAGATAGATAGATAGATAGATAGATAGATAGATAGATAGATAGATAGATAGATAGATAGATAGATAGATAGATAGATAGATAGATAGATAGATAGATAGATAGATAGATAGATAGATAGATAGATAGATAGATAGATAGATAGATAGATAGATAGATAGATAGATAGATAGATAGATAGATAGATAGATAGATAGATAGATAGATAGATAGATAGATAGATAGATAGATAGATAGATAGATAGATAGATAGATAGATAGATAGATAGATAGATAGATAGATAGATAGATAGATAGATAGATAGATAGATAGATAGATAGATAGAAACATTGTTGTGTTTAATATTCTTTAATTCTCTTTGCTGCATGTCTTTTGCGCGTAAACCTTGTGTAAAAGATAATTCACAGGATGCCAAATGCAATGTTCTGCCCAATTGGTTTTACACACGACAGCCCCATCAAGAAAATCCCCTTAAAAAGCCCATCGCAAGTTCACGATCAAAGTTAACATTTGTCACAATAGCTCTCTCTTAAAAAAATCACAGACTCTCATTGTACAGGCGTCTGTGTATAACATCCCGCACGTTTTCTTTTTTCAAAGCGCTTTTCCCATCGTAAAAATTCTTCCCGTTTCAAGAAAGAGCTTTGTAGGGTTATAATAAAATCCTTTCAATGCTTATAAAACTCCACATAAAATCTGACCGACAAAACACCGGGTTAGTCCCCTTAACCTTCCCCCCGCTTTACTGCTTCGATTGTACCTACTCGAGTGGCTGCTCTTGCTGGTGCTGCCGTCCTTGGCTGTGGCGGAGGAAGAAGTGCAGGAGCCTGAATTCGTGTGTTCCTCCTCATCGTCCGAGTCTTTTCCCGGCTCTGGAGCTCCGGCTACAGCGGCTGTGGCTTGTTGCTGCTGCTGCTGTTGTTGCTGCTGCTGCTGTTGTTGCTGCTGCTGCTGTTGGGAGTCGCTTTCCAGCTTGCCCCCCTCGCCCTTTTGTAAACAATTGTCTGTCTGATTGTCCGTGCTGCTGCAGTATGCGGTCTCGAAAAAGCGGTCAAAGCCTTGTGGGAGGACGTTGTTTTTCCCCATGCCGGAGTAAAAGCCTGTGGAAGGGTGATTGGAGCCCGCGTGGGCATGGTGGTGATGGTGGTGGCTGTAAACGCTTTCGTTCTTCATCAGCATTTCTGTCATGGTGGATGGTGGAAGACAGTCTCTATGCACCAGATCATCTCCCGAATAGCACGACGCATAGTTGCTCCTGTGGTGCCATTTGCTAGCGGGGTCCAAGCCGTACGAAACTTCTCGCATCGGCTGCACTTGAGACAGATTCGTGGAATAAGGGTAGCTGATTTGCCGGGAAGGGGCCTGCGGAAGAAACGAGGAGACGGCCGAAAACTCGGGGACGTAGTAGGTGCAGCTGGGGAGGTAGATGTTGGACGCGCAGCCTGTTCTGTCCCCAAACTCGGATGTCCGGTCTTTGCGCGTCTGGGAGCAGAAGTTACCCAGATTCACGGAGTTAAACATCTTTCTCTCTCTCGCAACTCGGCTACTATAGATAGATGTTTTGGATTCGAGCTGCAGCAGAAGGGGAAAAATTTGGGAAGGCGAGATGACGCGCAATCCGTCTAAGTCGCCCTGCAGACACGTGATCGAAAGTAGATATTGTCATATATCAATTTGGAAGAGTTGGATGTGTAGGAGTGGTTGGCTTTAGGTAGATCGAGGAGGTTCAAACGCATAATTTCCAAACGCCACAGGCGCACCGAGCAAACCAGTTACAGATTCTTGCTTGCTGGCTTATGACAATTAGTGAGATATGTGCAGCTGTGTATGTGTGTGTTTATGCTTATAGGCTAGTAGGCCAGCTAAAGAGCCAGGGCTTCTTTAAAAGGTAAAGCACCATTTCAACAGTGCAGTTAGTGGCAGGCATTTTATAGATTTTCAGAGATATTAAAGGTAAGATTATTATTATTATCATTATTATTTTTTATTATTATTAACCATCAATTGATATATATGAGCCTAACTTTTTTACGTATTTTATGTAGAGTTCATCCCAAAGGCACATTAAGCAGCAACCATATAAGGTCATTCATTGTCCCATAGTTTTACACGTAATAATAATTGTATTTAATCTATTTTCCTGATTTCTTTAGACTCTTATGCTACTATGGTGAGATTTTTAAGGAGAGTTTTAATACTTATCTCAGTCGTCCCCACAGGTGTCTGCACTTGGTTATACAAAAAGTATTTTGCCATTAAAATTATATAAGTCAACCTATTAACTTTCCTATCACTCTATTTACACTGCAAAAAAATGTAAATCTAAATAAGTCATTTTTTTTCTTAAAATAGGTGGAGTTTGTCTTGAATTGAGGGGGTAAGTGAGACATTTTGCCAATGGAACAAGACAATTTACCTTTAAAATAAGAAAAAAGCAATTATATGTTCTTACTTCAGGTGCATACTATCTGATTATCTTATTTTGAGAGTAAAAACGCTCATTCCATTGGCAAATCATTTTATTTACCTATTCAAATTAAGGGTAAATACACCTAATTTAAGAATATTTTTTACTTATTTCTAGACTGTTTTTGCAGTGCAAGATTTTGTTTCTTAGAGCAGATGTGCCTGGAGTTAGTTGCAGTTCTTGTTGAGAGTAATGGTGTGTTGCTGAGTTACACCGGTGGTTAGGCAATGCGCAATGCACCGCAAGTGTACGTTGACCATGCAAGATAAAGAAATCGGACTAGTCTTATTATTCCTTTTGACTTTGATCTTAACAGAGTTCAAGGAGGCCAACTGTGCATTTATCCCACCACACAACGTCCCTGGAAATCCTGCAAGGAAAAATCACACCAGCGGAACCCTTGCGAGCACGGAAGATGCAACTGCCATTTTTGAACGCTAATGTGATCTGGTTGCACAAACACATATTTTATATTTTGTGTAAAAGCACAAATTAAAAACACACCTGACACTGCTGGATTTCCCGAAAAATATTTGTTACATTACAGAAAAATCGTGCTCAAAATGAGTAATATTACTATTGCACTTTATGTTTTTTTTTTTGATTATTTTTTTATGTTGTTGTATTTTTTGGGTGCATTTTTATTTAAATGGAGATAATTAGATAATGAAAGAGGCATCGTTCTGATAGGTTTCTCCAGTCGGCACATATTATTAGAGAAAAATAAAGGACTGGATGTTTTCCTGAATTTCTCACATATATGTTGACATTTATCAGTCGTTGACATACGGACACACTTTTAAAAAATCCCATAAAATGAAATGTTTGAAGAGGAAAAGTGCAGCTGCGTGTGATTTCAGACTTTTAATTGTACTACTGAGCCCCATCTCCGAGTCTTTATAGACTGATACTGTTACAAGGAGAAATTAATACGACGCCCCATTGTTTCTGATCACAGGGAACTTCCTAAACACACTCTTAAATCCTAACCCAATAACACAGCCATTCTGTTAAACTAGCTTGACAGACGTGATGTTGAAAAATCAGATTTGCTGTTAAAAATATACATATTTTCGCCTCCCAACAGTAAAAGAAAGAGAAAACAATATCATGGTCAAGATCTGAGCGCTGGAAACTGGGAGTCGTGTTTGTTAAAAATGTGGCAATGGCATTAGCTTGTTTACTACCCCCTGCAAACAAAAGGTTGTCTCACATGATGCATCCTGCATCCAAGTACAAAGAAAGCAGACAGCTGTCCAGACACAGCACTTGAATTTGACCACTAAAATTCTCTCTTCGTCCAACCATAAAACTCCGAATGGCTGCAGTAACGCTAAATCCCCTTTGTTCCATAGAAAACTATTAACGCGGAGAATGAGAGGAATTTGGATTTCAACAAACTAAGATATTCCACATTTCACAAAACGGGGTGCAAATCGCCCCATTAAAAAAGAAAACAAATACACTCTCCATTTATTTTATATTATTTTTTACAAACTGGCGGATTCTCAGATTTTAAATTGAAAGTCTTAAATTTTGTGTCTTGACTGGTGCTCATTGTGACAAACTATTTAATTCAAATAGTAGAATGTACATAATAATAAAAAAAAAAAAAAAACAATGTTCTTATTGCGCCCCTGAAAGTCGCTGTTTATTTGTCGTGGGCGCAGATAATAAAGTGCACACCTATGGAAATATTTATGTAAATATTCTGGCCTTTTAGCTAACCATGTGAGACATTCTCCTGCTTCATTCATTTTTGTATTTGCACATCAGTGGGTCACACATGAAAATATTCACGTCTTGTTGCAAAGCAGATAATATAGAAAATTAACTACTCAATTATTTAAACCGATGGTATGTTTAACGGAAAAAATCGCTATATTCGCCTGCATATAACAATGAAATGAATAATGATTATGATATTTTCTATAAAATAAATAACAGCATTTGTTGATCGGTAGTAAAAGCTTTTTTTTTTCTCTCCAGGCGGTAAAAGCTCTGAGACAGACGGATCAAAACAACACTGTCAATTCATTTCTCCATCACAATCTTTCCAATGATGCGTAATGTGGCATAAATAAGTAATGTCGGGCATGAATGAGCAATGTAATAGGAATATAAGATCACAAAATGTAGGGCCTCTTTCCAAGGCAAGAAGGAGCAAAAAGGAAACAACTTCACTCGGCCTGCTAAAGAGGGGGATGATATTTTTAAATGTCTGGGGAAAAGCACTCCCCTTATTTTTAAGTTACCGCTTGTGTCATAACGTGGTATAATATGATCATTACTTGGCAATATCCGATTTCCGAGGTTTAAAAACACTTTTCTCACCTGGGCGCGCTCGGACCATCAGTCAAAGAATAAAGCTTCAGCATGTGTTTATCTGAAGAACAAACTCAGCGAGCAGTAGGACCCAGGAATGTCTGATTGCTGCACCAAAATGAGCAGGGGATGTGGCAGGAATTTGTAGGCAAAGTTCTCCTCAGCTGACTTTATCCGCAACTTTTGCTTTAATACAGCAATGAAGAGGCTTCCTGATTAGCAATATCGTGAGAGTAGAGCTCAAGAAACTGTCATGATAATTTGTTGACTACTTTTGCCTCGCGTTCCCGTCTTGAATATCACAGTTAGAGCAGTAACTTTAACGACATACGTCTGAGGAATTTAGGCTATGTATGCCTACCAAGCACCATAATTAAAATTGTTAACCTAGGTGTCAACCCGAAAGAAAAAAAATGGCACTCTCAAATATTACAATGTTTTGCCTTTGTGGTTATAAATCCTTGACCAAATGATACCACCCTCACACACACACACACACACACCCACACTCCCATGAACAAAGTTCACCAAGACGTGCTGCACAGCCAGCCGAAGTCATGGCTAAATGTGGGAAGCCTAGTGTAATCATATCACCGTCCCCTCATGGCCCAGAGAAGTTTAATTGGATGTAAGTCGGGCAGTTAAAATTCAACTGCAAGTGCTGCAAACTGGTTCAAGCAAGGCTGAGGAGGCATGTTGTGTTTTGTTTTACCTTATTTATTTTTACTATCACAATTTGACAGTGAATGCATCATCCTTCGGCCCATGTGGTGGCAACACTTGCAAACAATACAGAGGCGAGCGTTCAATTTGTAGCGATCTCCAGAGTGTATTTCCCATTCAACCGCACGGACATAAAGCTTTCACAACAATGTGTTAACTTTTTTTATTGGAAGTATTAAATGATTTCACATCACACAGAAACACTCCGCGCAAGGAGTCCCAGATTACATCTCTGTTTTTATTTAGACGGCCGAGGAAAAAAGCCTTCAAAACCTAGAGCGGTGTAAAAAAACAGATATGTATTTACTTTGGGAAAGCTCTAGATAGGAAGAATACAATTAGCCTTTATTAGATTTAGATACACTGATCTTTTGTTACAGAGCAATTAAAGAAAACTCCACTGACTGTATTTTCTAAATGAAAAGCAGTACTCCGAGCTAAGGCCTATCAGATGCCAATAAAATAGATATTTTTATGTATGCCCTAAAGACTGTAATCGTTTAGAAACACAGAGTATCATCTGAAAATTCTGAATTTATTTTTAAAATGGCTGCAAATTTGACTCGAATATTTACGAAAAAGACAATTCTAAATAAATGATCATAGTTGAATTTTGAGTAATAAACAGTTTTTTTTAACCTTTTGAATTTAAATGAGGGTTTCAACTATTACTACTTAGTAGTACTACTTACTTTAAATTGTGCTGTAAGTAATGTGATTTGATTGTATTTATTTCTAATAATTCCCAACGTCTTAATAGTCTTATAATATTGATAAATGCTATGATCACGTGATGAACACGTGACACAGCCTTCTTTATTGTTGTTTTTTTAAGCGAGACAAATCCGCCCTGTTTTTTTCTTTTAGCATCTAAGAGATAAGATGCTTTATTTTGGTCTTCATCGGTCAAGCTGGATACCGTGAGTCATGACATGAACTCTAAATAAAAGCTCCATCTCTTTTTATCCTACCAATATCACTACAAATGGCTTCCTTAAATGTACAGCGCGTTTACTTTGCAGAGTTGCGGGTATTAAAACTGCATTGCTACTAAAGAGGAAGCGTTAACAAAGTGTATACAAAGGCTTAACTAGTATTTTGTATTGTTTTTTTGTTTTTGTTTTTGTGACCAAAACTGCATTGCATTGGCACTGAAGCAGTCTAAATCCTTAAATTTGTCTTCATGCATAAAGCTGCTTTCAGCAGGTCTCGTAGATTCAACTGTGGTGTCCTCATATACTTGACCTTCATGTTGGCTTTGAAAGCACAACTCTGTCGGCCTGTATTTATCAAGAAAAATTTTTTTTTTAAGAACTCTACAAGTCTCTGATTATTTTAAAACTCACGATAGAGGCACAGATTAATACCGGAATGCCGCTCGCGTTGATTATATTTGCGCAGAGTCGCTTATAATGGCTGCAAAAAGGAATGCAACATTCAGAATGACTACAGAGAGGTTTTAAAACAATAGTCTCAAAAATCAATTCCAAATATATTTCGACCAGCTACAACTGCACTGAAAAGAGAAACGCCGCTTTTGTGGCGCCCCTCAAACCCTCAAGCCCACCGTTAGGATTTGTTATACGCTTGATGCTAATGAAACACATATTAATAAGATGGCACATTTCAGGGTAAGGAAAGGGAGCTCACTGAGAACTAATTTCAAATCATTCTAAAATCTATACATGACAATTCTTCAAAACTATATCGATCTCTGACCTTAAGTTTCATACCTTTTCTTATATCACATTAACATTACTTCCTGTGGGGAAAAAAAGTCATTTCCACTCTCTTCTTTGGGAAGCTCCTCATGGACACACTTTCACACACACAAACGTATTAAAACACACCGGCTCCCAAACAGATACACTTTACCAAGAATAACACCGCTTTCTGTTTCTCCGGCCAGCTCTGTGCCATAAACGGGAGATGTGGCGGAGGGGGGAAGTAGACTGCATGCCACACAAGTTCTCTGCGAAGGGCACTGTGAAGCTGACTGACCTTTGAGACTGGCCGTCATAAAAAGATTTAGTCAGTCTCAAAGTCAAAAGTGCTCAAGAGTACTGAAAGAGAGATTGTTAAAAACCTGCAAAGCCAAATATCCGAAGGTCGTGCGCAAAGACAAGAGATAACCTAGCTTGGGCTAACTGCCAAAGGCAGGTTACATTTCTTCTTTGCCCATATATAAAAACGGATATAAACATATGCTTAGTTTCTTCGGCACCTTTCTTGTTACTTATCAAAAAACAAATTAGTAGTTATAGGAATGCAGCTCGTTGTGTGCGTAAAATCCCCTCCCAGCATCGACCAGAGCTAAATAAATTAATATAAATTTACGAATAAAATCGTCAGATTCTTGCGTTTGCATAGAAATATGTGCAACTGATTGTTTGGCTTAAACCAAAGACCTCACTGCCAAGTATTTCTGTAACAATAATCCGAGCCATTTATACACCATTACTGGCCTGCAAATTAAACTACCGTTTAATCACAGCGGGGAAACACAATGACTCTGTGCTCTGTGTGCTTGGATGCCCACGCTTCTCTCCTCACAGTTCAAATTCGGTGAAATAAATTATCCAAATTGTTTTGCTCCAGACCTGAATTCCTTACTGAGCTGTAATCTGTTGCTGTTTGTTACAAATCACGAAAATTTGATCAGCCATTACCCCCTTTCATTTTCTGCATATCAGCAGTTTCATTTAAAACGCTTCTCAAGTTCAAATTCGTAAACAAGTAGGTTGTGGAACCAAAAATCTAAAGTTCTTGTAGAATGAAATCAGTTTATCAGGAATAATTCAACTTGATATGGAGGCCGTTTAACTAAGATAAATGGCCAAATTAAAGATGTGTTCCTGGTGCGTAATTTATATTTCATGTTGACTCTAAACACTTTTTAAAGGTAATACACAAGCAATCAACAAAAGTATTGCTTTGTCTCGAGGACCAAATAAAATAAATTCATTTAAAAACATTTTAATATTGTTTAATACATTTTAACTGAGTTTATTTTGGAGAAAGCACAACTCTCCTTTTACCAGACAATATAACATCTTTTTTACGCACGGGTATATTTCGCTTTGCTTAAAGAAACATTAAAATATGTTATCTTAAAATCTTACTTTAAACGTCTCTTAAAATATTGAGCAGACAAGTTAAAACACGTTTTAGAATAAATTTTTATGGGGAGCTAATTTTCTTTTCAAACAAAAACAGAGCATAACATTAATTTTTCTGTAACCCCTTTGATTTACCTTGTAGTTTCATGAAAGATTCTGGTATACACACACACACACACAGCTCTCGTGTTTATCATTATTTTATTTAAAAAAAAATAACCACACAGCTTGCACAGTATGGATATTGTTTGTAATCATACTTGATATTTGTATTGTTGGTATCTGATTGTTATCATTACTGTGCAACTTGACGCACTGTTTCATCATGCTGGAATCGAGACATCCCGTTCATTTGCTTTAATCAAGATGTTGCAACAATGCTATGGATTTCACACTTATGCCCTCTGGCTAACTGGGCAACACAGTGAAGAATTTATTGACTGGTATGTTTTGTGGTTTGCAGCAAACACCTAGGCGGGGAAGTGTGGTTCACTTCGAGGTAGGGCGCACAGCTATCAGATGCTTCTAGGCTGCAACAACAGCGGCACAATAAACAATAGACACCATAGTAATACAAAATCTGTAATGGACCGACACCTTTATTATATCATTGAGCACGATGGCATAATGAGAGAAATAAATCTTTTACTTGCATTTATAACTCTATATGTTGGTAAATTGCAGAGAGAGGGATGGCAGTCAGTGATTCGGTTGCAGAAGTCTTTCACAGCTCATTGCAAAGGCAACATCTGATATGAAAACCGAGACAGAACAACGCTTTTCTTCACTTAACTGAGACTACAAGCTGCTAAAGACAAACGCACCAACGGTCCGTTAGTTAACAGGAAGAAAAACACTGCTCAGCCAGTGTGTGGCTTTACACTTTACGGCCAGCAGGGAGAGCCTTGTGGACCCAGGAAACGTCCATAAGATCAAATCCAATGCATTTTAAACACTGAGAAATAAGATTTGCTTTTATTTTCTTATAACATTTAAAGTTTTCATATAAGAAATAGTGCGTTTACATTTCTTGGATGTATCAGCAAAATGCTGGGATGCATTAATAAAATTTAGGCCAGGCCAAAGGGGCTTCTACATAGATGAAGCACTGGGGTGTAACCCTATTACGGCTTTACAGAGCTATTGCGTGTTTTGCTGCGACGTTATAGGCTTGTAGCAGAGAAATGACAATGATCAGGTCAAACTTGAGGGGTTTAAAAAGGTGATTTTTTTTTTTTGTTTGTTTGTTTGTTTGTCGGGGGTGGCGGGTGTTTTCGTTTTGTTTTTTACTGAAAACAAAAAAAATGGAAAGGGTAAGCATTAAACTTTAATGCAACATAGCGTGCACTATATAAACTTAGACACAATTTTACACGGTCACTGATATCAAAGGCACCTATAACCTTTTTTGTATTTCTTGTGGTCACAATAAAATTAGGTCAACCTGTGCGGGCTTCTAAAGAGCATCCGTGTAAAAGCTTGCACAACATTCCCAACAAACAGCTCCTTTAAATAAGTCAGATTGACCGGTTAATCTGCATTTCATTGTGGTAATGTTTATTTCTTTATTCATTTTTTATTATTATCAGCATATCTGTTTTTCTGTTGTTTTTGTTTTTTTGTTTTGTTCTTTTACTTTCTGGGCCCATAACAATCCCGCCGCAGACTTCATTTCATTTGTTGTTTTTTTATGTTGAATATATCAGAAGCAGTGTGAATAACAGACTGTTGTAACACCAATAAACATTTCAATATTCTGTTTATTGAAGACCTTACGCATATACATTCATATCAGCATTACGTTTACAAGACAACGTAGCAATCCTTACAAGCGCAAAGGAAAGGAATGCATAGGGTGGGCGACATCATGAAAGGTACGACCATGAACAACCACTACACTAAAACTGAGTTACTTTAAATGTCCAGAATTGTAAAAAATAACTGAATCTTACATTCTTAACATTCATTCTGAATTTCGTCCTATACCTCCCCCACCCCTTACAGTAACAACGTATATATATATATATATATATATATATATATATATATATATATATATATATATATATATATATATATATATATATATATATATATATATATATGGAATGAAGTTATACAAGACAATCAGTAACATAAAGCACTATTACATAGCGATAGGGGGATCCTCAAAATAGGATGCGAATACTATTATTGGTTACGTTGTCATTTTTACAAAGTTATACACGAAGACAAGGACGGAGACAACACTGCAAGTAAATAAATTGGCCTAAGCAAATCTCCGTCCCTGCACCATAATAATAACAATAATAATAACAAGATTAATGATAATACATTCTTTGAAGGCGTTTATTCAAGACTTTTTAATATCGGTGGTTTATGATTTGTTCAAGGAAACAAAAGTAAAGGTACAAAAAGTCACCTACAGAAAAAGTGTCCCGCAGAACACGATTGGTTGCACTTTCACATCAATAACATGCTGCAAACATTTTATTTAGCTTACTCATTTAACAAATAATACACTGTGGTCGCCCTCAAATCAGAGAAGCAACACGCTGAGGGCCTGAAACTTTTGTACGATTATAAAATGCTCCTTTGGCCTGCAAGCTTATATGCGCCCTATAGGTGAGTGACATCTGGTTTATTAAGCTGATCTGGCAGGAATTAATTTTTGCTGTAGAATTGACAAATTTATGCATCCTTTGAGTTTGGCATGAGTGTCTTTTTATTTTTTTAGCAGCCTCAGAACCATTTTTGAATGGTAAAAACTCATGCAGGACTCTGTGGTTTGTTGCACGTGAACAAACGAATTATATATTTATTACTCATTTGTTTCGTCTTGACTTTCTTCTGTCATGCAAAGACTGATACTCTTGCACGGGACCGTGAGTTCACTCCGAAAAAACAGGGCAAAACGTGGGACTTACTCCTCTTAATGAATCCGAAAACATCTAAAAATGGATATTCTTCTCCTTTAGATCTTTAATAGAGATATTAAACAGACACTGGAGCACAAATGCCTGGCAGTCAGGCTGCCTGATTTCAAGGATATATTTAGACCCTATTCTAAGATTTCTGCCTTAAACGGTCTCTCTTCCACCCTTATCATTTAGGGTTAAACAGAATGAATGATGTAATATTTCCTCAACATTTAGCAACTAAGTTGAGGGGAAAATACTACACAGAAAAAAAAAAAAAAAACATTCACAGTTTTTGTGCCAGTTCGTCAAACCTCGAGGCTTACTAATGTGCATCGTGGTGGACGCTAGAAAGTGGCTTGTTTTTTTTAGGGGGTGGGGGGCATCTTTAAAGATAAACCTGCAGAAAGGGTGCAATGATAGCCCACCATGAGAACGAAGATGGGTAGATGAGTGCATGCACTGAAATAAGACCTAAGGGAGCGTAGAAGCCTTGGCTTTTTTCTTTCTTTCGTTTTTTTTTTCTTCTTATTTACTGCCTACTGATTCACCTTTCTATATCCCACATATTTAAAAGTAAGCCAAAGCTTGCTCCCTTAACATGAGTCTCTTCTTCTTCATCCTGCGGTTCTGAAACCAAATCTTCACTTGTTGGTCGCTGAGGTTCAGTCGGTCGGAGAGCTCCCTCCGCCGCTGCCTGGTAATGAACTCGTTCAGCATGAATTCTCCCTCGAGCTCCGCCAGCTGGAGTTTGGAATAAGGTTTGCGCTTCTTTCTGGCCCGAGTGTGCATGGGGTACCAAGGGGCACCTGGAGGAGAGAAGACGATGGGAAGAGGAGAAAGTAATGGAAGATGAAGAGGAGAGGGAGGAGGAGGGGGGGTCAAAGAGCGAAATAGTCAACACAGTTAGGCTACAAAATCACGGTCATCTTCAAGGTTATGGCGCAGCAATAGGGGCATCTGTTGTCTTAAAGGGGGCCAGGTCAGTCTAACAAACGTTCAAGTCATAAATTAGCGCAGTAACAGCGTTGATTGTGTCAAATGAAGATGCAGCATTATAATAGTTTAAGACAACTCGAATGTTTTGCAAAAGCTGCCTTGTGCATAAGTAATTGGCAGCAATGCAACTTATACGCCCCCGCAGATACTGGTATTATTTTGGTCTTCGGGATTGATTCACTTTCTCTAAACTTATTTACTACTTGTTTTATTTAAAATTTCCTTTCCAGCCCCCGTTCAGAGGCCGCTTTATTAAAGCGAGGCTTTGCGTCAAAGTGAGTTTTATTGTCAGTTAAAGCAGCATTAAAGCGATAATTAAGCCGTACCTGCAGCATTTATCCTAACTTATTCGCTTGTTTCTTGAGCATATTAAACGGCTCGAGTCCAGAGTGACATATATTAATTCTGTTTACGAGTCATTAAAGAGGAAAACTCTCCCCCTCTGTCCATTCATAACAGTCGACTAAAGTGACTTTCATCTTTAAAACACAGTTCACTAGTTTCTGTTTAAATAGTAAAAACAAAGGAGCAAAATCAGCTCTTCTATTTCACAGATATCTGATTGTCCCAGAAGGACGTTTTAGCCAAAAAATGTGGAGACACCTTTAGTTTGGAAGTTTTTTTTTTTCTCTGGGATTGGTGCCACACGGTAAATGGGGTATTTTAGGGCTACCCCTAGTGGCGTATGCGCACCACGCATGTTTCCTGTAGGCTAAAAAAGGCTGCAGGATGACCATCAAAATAATAACCCGTATGTAAAGGGAATATACGTTTAATCAGGTTAAAAAGGTGTTTCATTGCGTTTACGGTGCCATCATATATTTATTTATGTATAAATAAATAAGGAGCACCCACCTCCGCCTGCGGCTATGTTGCCAGAATGGCTTCCCGGAGACACCAGGGTCTGTGTGTTGCTAGATGGAGGCTTGCCGCCCTCATTTAACAGAGAGGAGCTGGAGTCAGATTCCATCGACTGACAGGACGGCGGATCCTGTGTGAGCTGCTCCGTTCCATACTCATATTTAGAGAAGGAGACGCTGCCTGCAATCCCGGCGTGCATCCCGTGGTCAGATGTTAGGGAAGATGTGTCCCTCGCTCTGTCCTCCCGTTTTAGGCTGCCGCTGCCGTTGCCACCTGAGCAGGTCTCCCTGTTCCCGTTGTTGTAGTAGCACTTGCCCTCCTCCGGTCTGGTGATCTCACACGACCGATTGAAAGAAGGGTTAATAGAGACGGGGCTGCTAAAGTAGGATTGAGAATATCCATTGCACGGCTCCGAGGGGTTCCACGGGAGGGAGCAAACATTGTCCCTTCTCGGGTAGGAGAGAGACGGTAGCCCCGCCAGCTGTCCCCCTGAGGCTCTAAAATTCGGAAAGTAAAAGGTGTCTCCTGTATGGATGTTTACCAGAGGTCCTACAAACCCTGGATTAAGGAGATTATGCTCGCCCATTTCCGCGGGCCCGACCAACAGCTTCTAGTTTATTGCAATCTGACATTTAACATAGTTAAACCTGGAGCTGCGCCTGATTGGTTATCACAGCACCACGTGGCCGAGCTAACTTGTGCTCCACATGGTACCACCCACTTGGTCCATCTCAGACAAAACAAAACATTAACTTCTGTATTACAACGGTTTATAAGCTTTTTAAAAAATACTATAAACCTTTTATTCAAAAAGTGGAGTCTTGTTTTTTTCTCTCTTTCTCTAAGCCCAGAAGGGAGCAGCATTTTCCTTTTACAGAAGTGAAACTGTCCACGGCCTCGTTTAATATCTTTATATGCTGGCAAAAGTTTTTTTTTCCTTCTAAAAACTATTTTTTCCTTGAGGGAGTGGGTGCGTATGCGACTTTTTGTTTTCTAACAAATTATGGTTGACTTCTGTGTCATATAAAATCGTGATGTCCCAATTTACAAGGTTGTTTTAACAAAACGACTGATCCTCATTGCTCATATTTACAGTAACGGGGTCATCCAATTGAAGCCAGTGGCTCTGTTAAAAATAAAAAATAAAAAGAAGAAGACGACATTCTACAAGGTTACTTTAAGAGCGTATATTTCATATCATATTCTCTAGTACACCTCACATGAGCAACTTTAACAGATACCTCTAATAAACGCTGCCGGCCAAACTCTGGTGGGATAGTTACACCTCTCACAATTCTTTTATATGAATTTTACAAGATATCAGAGGGCACTTAACTGATTCAATCAGCGAAGAGGCCCTCTGCTTTATATCGCACTAATTAGTTGATTTGTAGAAGCGGGTGTAAAGACACTGAGCAAATATAGAAGCAGAGAAAACAAACACCTTTTTTGTTTCAACTTATATAGTTAAAACTGACAATATTGGCAAAATGAAGCACGTTTTATATTTCTTTTACAAAGTACAGTTTCAGAAGTTTACAAAGCGTCTGGTCAGGATTCTGATGCACTGCTCGCACTGAAGCGGTGGAGTCTAGTCTTTGAAATTTGTTCTCGTGATCAATATAAGAAAGGCCAGCTCTATATTAAACTCGTATTTCCAGTTGAATATAATTAGTATGAACCAAACCAGTTCAAAATATTGCAATATAAATATTTCCAATGCAAAATCCATATGCGGTTTCAAAGATATCATCTCTCGATGTGTAACTGTGCAGTTAAAAAAAATAAAAATAAAAGAACGGTTAAATGAAATATGAAGGGAATTGTATATAACAGATTTATAAATAAAAAAAAAAACAGAGTATACAAAATATGTCATTAAGTTCATCTAAAAGCTGCTATCGATGCATGCCGTTAACTCAAGTTCAAGACGCAGAGTCACTATGCGTTGAACTTGAGTTTGAACTCAAATAATACATTTTGAAAGTGATGCAAATTATGCTGACAAAAACAAGCTAATTGCAAACGAGCATTTTTTTTTTTAGATTTTGTACTGTAAAATGAGGTAAAATAGTTATTTCTTCCAACATTGTTTTCAAAAAACATCGAGAAACCCTCTTTTCTGCAGAAATGATGTTTTGAAACATAAATGATAAATCCAAATATCACAAAAAACAACAACACAGTGATAAAAGATAGGACTGATTCAATCAGCTGATTATATGGATGCATTTAAAGATTGTCAGAAATGCGCATGGCTGCCAGAGAGCTGCACATGCGTGCTAGAAGGACCCAGTTTCATGCCACAAAATTTGCCAATGGGGTGTTATGTGAGAACTCCAGCATTCATTTAAACACTTGTTTGGGGACGACTTGCAAGTCAGCCGATATGTGATAGCCGTATCTGTCACTTTTGACCACACATCCTCTCTTAACCTGAAGGCACCGAGCCCTGCTCTGTCCTTAAATAGAAAGGCACATATCAGATGCTTTTTAACAGGACAGGCTTCTTATTCTCACTCTCCGCTAAGGCTCCTATCACTGTACATTCTTTTATCTAGTTAGTGAGTCTCGTAATGCGCTCGGCCAGTTAGTCCGACATAGGCGGGCGCGCAGCAATGCTTTTTCGGCTTGTTGGAACAGCTACCAGAAGCTGCGGTAATAGCAACAAAATGGCCCATATAGATGAGTAAGGTGCAGGCACGTATTAGCCACTTTACCTCGGGGGGATATGAGGCCATGTGTTGCGCCTCCCTGCCTCGTGTCTCCACGCCTTCGTTTCACAGCTTTTCCCAGATCCAAACAAATGCGTGCATACTAATGTAATCTTTGAGCTCTGCTAAAATCCATATCTTACCCGGATATGTAACAAAACAATAAAATTAATATTTTCGTGGTAAGAACAAAATAAAAGAAAAGTGAGCACTGTCAAGGTCACTGTCTAGTACACTGTCTGCTCCATATTGAAATTAGCCGCCAGGAATCCAACGTCCTGCCCAGACAGGGCAATAGCCTAAACAAAGGCCTTTTCTTCCTTCTTTCTCTCTTTGATTCTCTGCAGGCATGTTTCCACAGTTATTGCCCGGCTGAAGCCCCGTAAACCTCCTTTCTTAGGGAAACAAACCCACCAATGGAAGCTAAAAAAAAATGAAAAGAAGTTCTAATATTTTAATTAAAAAGTTTATCCAACTTTATTTTATTTATTTACAACACAAACACCAGGCGACTCTTTTATTTTATCGTAATAAACTGATCCAGGGTAACTGAGCCCAAGCTAAAGCTATCATACAAAATTACTAAAATATTCCCAACAAGTAGCCTAATTTAATCATAGGTATATAAGAGTCAAATAGCTGTGACACAATCTAAACAGGCGCTTCACAATTAGAAAATAATAATTCAAATAATTCCGTAGAGCATATAGAATTAATGTTACAAACTATCACATAGAATAAGCCATGCGTTTCATTTATTTGATGGAAAAAAATGTTGAACTTGACTGACATTGATTATTAGAATGAAAGCGAGGCGACCTAATTTTAAACAGAGCGAATTACGGTTGAAGATGTTTCCAGGGGCCTTAAACATTCCTCAAATTGGATTTAAGAGAAATGAAATGGAAATGTTCGTTTCTCAATTGTGTGATTCTCACTTGTGTGTGTGTGTGTGTGTGTGTGTGTGTGTGTGTGTGTGTGTGTGTGTGTGTGTGTGTGTGTGTGTGTGTGTGTGTGTGTGTGTGTGTGTGTGTGTGTGTGTGGGTGTATTGGTGTGTGTGTGGGGGGGGGGGTAGTGGGGGGCGTAAGCAGGCAATATTTCCCTACTCAGAATTTGTAAACATAACTTAATGCAACATTGTTCACTACAGTGGTAAATGTGGAGATTATATAGAATAAAAACATAAAAAAATTAAATTACTTCTTATGTGATATTCTCTTTAATGTTGCATGTATATCTTACAAAGACAAAGAGTTTGGTTTTCGAGACGAGGTAACACTCCTGTTGAAAGACATATAAATTCATATATTGCATAAATTGACAGTGAAAATTGAAATAAAGCTAAACTTCTATTAACAAAACACGTGTTAAATAAATTTGTTAGTAACGATGAAAAAATATTGAAATTGATATTTTACAAAAAGTTATGCGTTTAAAATGAAAACATTCTATTACAATAGATATAGTTTGTAAAATACCACGAGTTTCCATACTTTTTTATTTATTTTTTTCTAAATAGGATCCCCTCAATAAAATAATGACAAAAGTTAGGGGAAAATAAGATCTTTGTGAACACTTTGATGCCGTTTACTCGAACTTTTAGTTTCAAAAAGTAAGAATTTTCCATAAATACATAAAAAGAGATTTTATCAAAAATAAATAACTACAGTATATTAAAACAGGATATCTAATATTAGGAAAATAAACTCAATAGCATATGTCAAAATCAAAACTTTCAAAATCTCCCCAGTGAGCAGAATGTTCACTAAATATAAAAGACACACTTGAATCACTTCCTGATATTTTCCTCTGGTCACCACCAGAGGTTATCAGCCCCCTTTCTCATGTCTTTGTCTGGCAGCGGCCTGCAGCCATTAAGACTTCTCACGCAGCCATAAACAACGCAACTTCATGTAACTTATGCTGTGTTCTGAAGGCCAGATTTATGTTTGGTTGGTTAAAATAAACTACATTTTACTTATTTTAAAAATATATCCTTAGTGTAGATGTTGGAAAATGTCCATTGTTTAAGCAATGAGAATGTTAGTTAAGGGCGTTGGTTATTCAATAAAAGAAAGATACAACTTACGAGTGAAACATTAACAGAACTGTCAGGAAAATAATTTACATTTATGGAGAATCCCCTTCTAAATTTATAGATATTTATATATTTATTTCATAAATATTTCCAGCAGGATGTGTTTTTGTTTGTATTATATTTTTAAATGACAAGCAAAAGCGAAACATCTGCTTTAAAGGATTCTTCATAAAGCGTAAGAAATATTTTGAAGCTTATTTTCCTTAAAGATTTTTGGGGTTGGACTTGTCAAAGCAGGCGTATACTGATTACGTATTAAATGTATGACAACGGAAAAAATGTAGAAAAATTACTTATATCCAAATATTGTACAACAAATACAACAAATATAATCAAAATATATTGAATACAAATGTTGTCTCTTGTTTTTCTACTTGAATAACAAGCCATACAAGCCAGTTTGCCGAAAATAAAGTTTTTCTAGAGTCATACAACGAAATCCACGTAAGCCTGTACTGTCAAGATACAAGGTAAGCGCCCCTACCTTTAATGGTTATATTGTGGGCGATGTCGTGTTATTATTTCCTCTTGCTCTACATGCTCTATCCGGTTGCTGCGGATTGTTGCAGCTTGGTGCGGTTGGCGAGAAACGTCAAAAAGTTCTACCTGTCCAGCATGGTCAACAATACTCTCACACACACCTCGTGATGACTGCATGAAACGATTACTGGCTCGAAGAGGCGTAGGGCCACGCTGCGTATTACTATAATTTTTTTCAGTCCTTCCCCAAAAAACTGATGAGTCCAAATGTCGACACAAAGCTCCAAGAGATGGTCAGAAAAACGTGGGTCAAAGGATACAGCTACACTTCCCATTTTTA